GGCATTTTGTAAATGTGAGTGTATAGCGTTTTAGCGATTGATAATACTTTATTTTTTATTATGGTGAATCTTGCACTCGAAATTTAAATTTAATCTTTGTGGCGTATATTTTTCTGTAGTGATTTTAAAACTTGCCAACAGAAAGATCTAACTATATTTGTATTTTTTTCGTTTGCCTTTTGTTGATAGTAACCGTGCATTATTAAAAAAAACAACAGTTGCATTCCATTGAGAGGCATTAGGTTTTTAGCATGTTCAGTATAAGTGAGCTGTGCTGCATGTTCTGCTGTCCACCCTGTCCTGGACCGATAGCGGCCAAACTTGCTTTCCAGCCTCCGGAACCGACTTATAAATTAACTCCAGCTGATGACACAAATATTAGATACAATTTACAACTCTTTGACCGCGCCGAATGGCAATATTCTGAACGAGAAAAATCGAAAGTAGAAGCTTTTTTTACTCGGACGTCGCGTGGCAACTTGATTACATGCATATATGTCCGGTGTAGCAAGAATGCTAAATACACTTTATTGTTTTCGCATGGGAACGCGGTTGATTTGGGGCAGATGAGTAGCTTTTATCTCACCCTTGGGTCACAAATTAATTGCAATATATTTGGGTACGACTATTCGGGCTACGGCATGAGTGGAGGAAAGCCCTCTGAAAAGAATTTATATGCAGATATTGAAGCTGCTTGGCAAGCAATGCGAAATAGGTAAGTTCTTACCTTACCGAACCATAATTGGTACATATTGACGTCAACTACGGTTATGTATTTAAAGGTTCAATATTAGCCCAGAGACAATAATTTTATATGGTCAAAGCATAGGAACTGTTCCAACTGTTGATTTGGCTTCGCGGCACGAAGTTGGGGCTGTGATACTTCATTCGCCATTAATGTCTGGCCTGAGAGTCGTCTTTAGAAACACAAAGAGAACATGGTTTTTTGACGCTTTCCCTAGGTAAGAACTTTAAATTGACTTTTGAAATTCAAAATGATCGTATCTCATTTTTAAACAGTATTGATAAAGTTGCTAAAGTTAAGGCTCCCGTTCTTGTTATTCATGGAACTGATGACGAGGTCATTGACTTTTCTCATGGAATCGGTATCTACGAGCGTTGCCCAAAGACTGTGGAACCATTTTGGGTTGAGGTAATTCATTAATAAATATTTATTTAAATTCGGTTCAGCTGCAATATTAACAAATATATACATATGTATCTGTCAATGGTTTTACATCGATAATATTCACTTTTCTAGTTTGACTGCTTAGACACAAATCTTAATTTTTTTTTTTAACTTTTTGTGTCTCAATTTATTTGGTCCAACATCTTTCCAATTTTAATTCCCCTTCCAAATATTTAATACATTTTCTCATGTCGATTTATGGTATATTTTGAGTAATTGGGGCACCCATCGCATGAGATGCGTACTCTAGCACTGTAGCATAGGTTTCCTTCATGATTTTTCCAATCATTTAAATCGGACATCTGTATGTAGACCAGTTCTTTCAAAAAAATTCCCTAATTACCTAAAACAGTTTGTGAAAATCGGAATACTATATCATATGATATCAGCAATCAGTTTATTAATAAATGCAAGTATGCTTGATCGATCAAACAAAGCTGAGCTGATCTGGGCGTGATTTTAAAGTTTTCAGCCCCGCTACATATGTCAGTAATGTGCCCTTGCGCACTTGCACCGGTGCAGCGTTTGTTTTTTTTCTGATATGCTTTCGGCAACAGTGTGCGGACCTTTCTGGCGTGGTCGCCCCATTCCACACTGGGCAAAACAGACAATATAGCGGAATAAAAGTTATAGCTTCTAAAATTCAAAATTATTTTTTTTATAAAAAAAGTTATTTTTTAGACTAAATTATATATACAATTTGTATTTGCTCACTGAGTATCGGGTGACTTGCTAGATTTCCGCTAGATTTTCCCACTGTTCATTGGCCACCACTAGGTTCATTAAAACTATATTGTCAATGAAAGATAAGAGTAAATTTATATAGTATATTTCTAGTATATAATATGTACATTAGGGTTGCGCTTATTTATAAAAGTAAAATTTTCAAACGCCTCAGGGTCTAAAAAATTTCCTTTTTTCATTAATGTCGAGGAAATAAAGTTTCAGCTGATGCTAGGAAACCGAACAGAAGTTTTACAACAATAAATTATAAAGTTTTAGCCTAATTCGACAACGTTTAGAGGTGTCGACGTGAGGTTAAAGTTGAAAAATAAGATATTTGGCCAATGGTTCCTATGGCAGCTATACTATATATCGCTCTGATCGGATTGAATTTTTGCTGTTACTTAGAATATAAAAGTATAGCTCATCCCCTAAAATGTCAACTCGAATGGTTAATGATTAACGTGCAATTCACGGGCAGTGTATTAAAATATAGACGGCGTAGCGACAGCATAGGAATGAAAAGATAAAAAGAGCGAGCATAGTAACAACAGTAACATTTGATTTAAATCGAGGTATTCACGTATGAATGCGGCATATTGGGCCTTGAGAAGTGGCTTGCGAACCAGCTTGCGCTATAGATTGAGGAATCTGCTATGGTCTTGTTGATATTAATCTCCAGAAGACTGTCACTCAGCTTGAAAGGCAATTGAACGCAGTACTCGCCGCTGGGAAGCAATTTTTGTTCTCCTTTGTTGCTTCTGTAGCGAGACCGTGGCAGTTTTTCACTTCCCAGAACCTAGCACTAGCTCATCCAAACCAACGGTAGGCGATTGACTCAATTCCGTCGAACTCGAGGCAGCTAGGAGCACTGAGCTGTGGGACAAATGACCTCCACCTGAGACAACCCAACCGAGAGGGGTTTTTTGTATTAAAGGAAGTCCCTTCTCCAATTTGATCTGTCCAACGCATAAAATCTCGTAAAATAAACTGGCTCCAATGAGTACATCGATGCGCTGAGACTTTTCAAATTAATCTGAGAGCCTTAATCCAGAAGAGCCCGGCAAGGAAGAAGATCCCCAAATCGACTCTTTATCATAATGACTGTCGTAGCTAGAAGCACTCCGTCTGGGCTAAGATTCTGAGCAGAACTTGGAAGATTGGAACATAACTGACGTAAGCAGCGGATTGTTGATATGCAAAAGGGAATGATGCTTTCCACCGCATGTGCGACAAGAGACTGAACTGCAGGACGTATTGCGATGTCCCTTCTTCAAACAGTTGAAGCAAACTCTAAGCTTCCTTGCCTCCCTAATACGCAAAGATGGCGAAAGGTTTCCAAAGCGAGTGCAGCTGTAAATGTTATGCTCTTTATTATCACAGAATACGGATTCCAATACGATTGTATTTGTAGCAACAAGAAAGATTAAACGTTTATTATTGAAATGATGTGCAATGCAATATCATAATTGCTCTCCGACACTTCCAAAGAGCGAACAGCCTCCAGGGCAGGTCCATCCAAACATGCTAAACATCGAGTGAAAGTCTGCCCACTCAGTATAACCTACAAGCAAAAACTAGTGTACTTTTTAGGCTTAAAACGCATTTGAATATTTTTTTTATAGGTTGTTCTATAATTAAACAATTTCAGTTTTCAATGTTAGCTTTTTGTATAAGTTTAGGCCTTCTAGGTGGCCTCAGATGTAAGCGGCACCACAGACCTAATTGGGAATTTTCTCCCCAATTTTTTGCAATTGGCGTTTAGATAACTCCAACCCATGTTTTTTTGGCTTTTAAATTTTCTCAGCATAAAGCCCGATATGCAGAAGTACAGATCCGAAAACCACGAAATAATGAGTCTTTTATATAGCCATATACATGAGTCCCAAAACCGTAACAGAGGTAGAATGTTTACCATGCATACAACTTATAATTTCCGATCTGTGATTTCTCTGCACCAGGAACAACTTTGTATCACTGTCAGTTTCCGTGTCACCGAAGAGTATAGAAGAATAATAATTCATAATGACTGAGTGTTTCTGAGTGTTTTTCCAATGATTCAAGGCATTAGCAGAAGGTCCTTTAGGTAGTCTTTAGGTGATCTTTCCGGCCTGCCCGGCGATTGTTGCGATAAGCCTCTTCCGACGATCCAATGTAGAGGTGGAAACTTGTCCATACTCCTGAGACCATCTCTGATACATTACAACGAATTACAAATTACAACCCTTACTGTTCCTCACTGGAATTATCCAGTGAATAATCTATGAATTATATATAGTGTGCCAAACATTATTGTTGAGCCACTGAGCTTCTTCAGGGGCATAACTCGGTTGATTCAAATAACCATAGCAACAAAAAGATCTCGATAAAGTACTTATTTGTTTTTGTTTTGATGTGTAATTCTATGGAGTCAAGGCCCACTGTGCCAGACGACAAAACTTGTGGTTGCGATGACGATCAGTGTAGGTGTGATTTCTGCTATACAGACGAGCCTCCCTCGCAGCTGATGAACGATGAGAAAAGATGGATACAGCGATTAAGAGCGTAAGGAGAAGCACTTTGTTCAGAGATCTGTTCTCTGTAGTGCTTATAAATTCGTGTGATTTTTCATGTCCGGGATGTACTTGTAAAAATGCATCTCTTCCCTTCCGGACATAACACTTTGGATGCTGTTTTGGGTTTTTTTCATAGAGATAATAAAATAAATATGTATATATATAGAAAATGAGTTTAAGATGGTCAAGATGCAATTCTGAAAAGTTTTTGAAAACAGCTATCAATAAGCCGTGAAAACTTTGTAAATGAAATTTATAGTTAGGGAAATAATATGTCGTATTGATATACCTATAAAAAATCGAACTTTGTTTAACTCGGACACTTTAATCAATTATTAGTAGTGTAATCAAAAAAGTAATCTTAACTTAAAAACAAAACAACAAAAATTTGTCTCATTGACGATTGTTTTAATATAATATTTCTTCATTTCAGGGCGCTGGTCATAATGATGTTGAATTGCATCCTCAATACTACGAACGACTAAGGAAATTTCTTTCGGTGGAACTTATCAAATGACAATTAAAGAGCAATGTCGATGGAGGTGTTGTTGTTGGCGACACTACAGCAGTTGTATCTAATTTAAATCCAGTCGAAGGAAGTTTGTCCCCAAGTCCAAAAGACCTTAATACCTTAGCTGCTACAGAAAAAGAATCAACTAGAAAATCATTGGCAACAAATACAATACGGATAGAAAATGATGGTTTGTAATACAAAATAAATGCTTAAATTATTAATTAACCCGTTAAATGGGGTCAATTTATATTAATTGTACAAAGCTTACAAAGACAACAAAATATTGATGTCCGTCCGAACAAATTGAGTTCAACTAAATGTATTTTGTTCACTGAAAAGGAATGAAACGTCTTAATTCAAAAGTTCAATTTTATTGAAACATATACAAATGTTATGTTGGATTGAGATCAAATTTTGACGCAATATACAATCTGCTGCAAACATTGTTTTATAGTCGTATATTTTTCGCGTCAGTAACATACCCACAGCTTCGAGAAAACGTACTTTTTAAGCGTCAATTGGTTACCAGCATACATATGTATCGAACCTGGGGAGATCAAGTATGCCGACTGACTAAAATAGAGTCGGTCGCCACACAGAAGGAGCGCCAAGACGGCTTTTGAGTATAACCAAGGCATAGTAGGTATCCGTACGAGAGTGGAGAGAATTAGCACAATCCAGATTCGTAACGTAGAGCGAGCAGTAAGACTTGAGGGTGCACTCTTTAGCAACAGATTTGGTTTTTTCCAAAAGGAAAAAAACACGAGCTGATGAGGATATCTGAAACACGTACCTAAAAGACAGCTGATTTAGCCGAGTCGATAGAGTCCATGTCTGTCTGTCCGTCTGTCCCTATGAGCGCCTAGTACTCAAAGACTATAAGAGCTAGAGCAACGACATTTTATATCTGGACTTCTGTGTCACTGTTACAAGTATATTTAAAAACTCCCCCCACTTCCGCCCCCACAAAAGACGAAAATCTGTGACGTACACAATTTTAAAGATACGAGAAAACCAAAAACGCAGAATCGTAGAGAATGACTATACATATCTTCTAGACTGCAGGGTCTGAACCAGATCGTATCATTATTATAGCCAGAATCAAGAAAACAATTTCATTCTCTGTCGCTCTGTCTTTATCTAAAACACAGGTCGGCTTTGCCTATTGCAAAAAGTGAGTTCCTAGATCTCAGAGACTATAAGAGCTAGAGCAACCAAATTTGGTATCCACACTCCTGTGATATCGGACCTTGACAAGTTTGTTTCAAAATTTCGCCCCACCGCCTTCCGCCCCCACAAAGGACGAAAATCTGTGGCATCCGCAATATTGAAGATGCGAGAAAACTAAAAACGCACAATCGAATGACCATATCTATCAGATTTCTGAGTCTGGATCAGATCGTATAATTTTTATAGCAAAATGTAACAAATCAATCTGCAGTGGCTATTAATATTTGATAATAACCGAAAATCCAAAGAAGCCAGGGGTCTAAGATCAAAATCGAGCTTCACTTTTTTGACAAGTAACTTCTTATATTTTTTTTAAATGTGCTTAAATTTTATTGAAGAGTCTTCTAAGTCTTGGCTTGTTCGAATGATACCTAAAAAATTTTAATGGTTAGTTTTTTATAAAAAGAATCTTTTTATGAAAATTGGCATTAAATCATGGGAAAACCCAAAACGTATCATCAAATGGTACACAAAAAATGTAAGGAACGTTGTGATCTTTATAAATAATTTAGATGTTTTAAAAATAGTATTTAAAAAGAGTGTTCAAAAATGAACAAAGTAACTTAAAACATTTTACAAAACGTCTACAATTTTTCATTAGTGGAAATATCGTTATTTAAGAGATGGCAACTCAATAGAGTGAATTTTTGTTCCTAAAAAATGTATTTTACAATTGGTACATATTTATAGTACTTCTATTGCGATAATGTACTAATTGTAGATTAAGATCTTTCTGAGTATATGTATGTATGCGCATATGCAGTATGTATTTAATAAGTATGTTCGGTTTTATTTATAGGTGCCCCAAATTCCAGCCAGAGTTCTGTTAAAGCTCATCAACAAAAGTTTCTTTAGCAAAAACAGTCGGGCTCTTCATATGCAGCCCAAACATTGTCACCCGAGCTATCGAAGACCGAATTTTCAACTGAATCATGCGTAAATGGATACCAAAAACAATCTAAAAAAGATGACAGTCAGCCAATTAACGGTATGAAATCAAATGGATTTTTGATTTCTCGATTAAAACAACAATCAAATATTTCTCCGACACTTCCTGTTCCATTTCCACATTTACCGATGAATGCAAATTTATATATAAATAGTCAACATACTCAACTATCCGATCGCTATTTAAATAACAAAGCGTCCCAAAAAATCGATACCAATGACGTGAAGGGAGCTATTTCAAGCGGATCCCTCTACGCAGTCAATCAAGTTTCATCTATATCATCCGTAATGTGCAGCTGTGAGAAATCAGTTAATTCAAATGGGTCCGAATCAAAAGAAGGAGACATTTTTAAAACCAATTTAGAACCTTATACTGCAGAAAATCTCGGTGCAAGCAGTGCCAAATTCCAAGACTCTAATGTATCCCAAATATGTCCCACGAAATATAATATCATAAACAAAGGTACGGATGAGTCAACACAGGTATGTTATCAATCAAAAAGTGGGCTTGGAAAGGAAAAATCAGGACTATATTCCAAAACGCAGTTTAATAAAAAAAATAACTTTCAACATGCCGTGATAATTTCTGAGGAAAACGATATCAATTCCTTTAAGTACGGAGGCTCTCAAGTGATAACCCCATTTTTAGTAAAGCCAGACAATCAATTAAAACGTCATGTTTCTCGAAAAATTAGCAAATCCGAGCAAACTTCTCCAAATAATATAGAAATGGACAAAGCTAATTTTGTATATGATTTGTATCATGATCAACATACCAAGCAAAGAAGTACTGGCTGTTTGCTGTATCCTTCAAATCCATGGATTAGAAAAAGCGAAATCAACCATACCATTTCCTCTACGGAAGAAAAACATTTGCACGTATTTCAAAATATCGATCCTTGGGTCAAACGTCAAACGGACTGCCCAATAGAATTTTCACGGTTTCAACCAGAATATATCTGTCAAGATAACACTAAAAACAAACCTTTTTCGGAAACAATTAAAAAAAAACATTGTATGCAACAAACATTAAATTATATTAAAAACGCTAATGATAATCACATTGTTTTAGATAAGTCTGGGCTGCTGTTTGCCACATTTTCTTCACAAAACGGTCAACCTTCATATAAATTAAATACAAATTCTCGCACAAAATCTAGAAGTTTTATTCTGAATAAATTAACGGATATTTCGAATCCGCTATCAAACAACCCCAGTAAAACTATAAATGAAAATTATGTTAATTTTTGTTGTCGAAATAATCAAGAAAAATTAAAAATTCACGCAGAAAATTTGCAATCTAGACATAGCTTTTCATCAATCTCTACCAAATTTAAAGAAGAATTACCCTTAAATATTCGTAGACTATCAGAACAAATTTGTAAGCCGTCATTGCAAAAAATGGTTCCGTTGTCAATTAGCGATTTTGACATACGTAATATCCCTGTTTCTGAAAAAGTGTTTGATCAAGAAAACCTTTCAATTGAAATAAACACGCCAGAAATATTTTACGGGAAGAAACATATTTCGGAGCAACATGCGAGTTGCCATAAAGACTTAATATCTTTAAAACTTTCGCCCAAACAAGTAAAAATCTTTTCAAGTACTCATAAGCCCGATACTTTGCTAGAAACCACCTGTTAAAAAAATGTAGTAATGAATTACAAGCCAATTTTAAAGAGTATCTTCATAAGCTCATTTGGATTTCATGTATGTATACATAGATCATCAAAAAGTTAAAGTGAATTAATTGAATCCAAATACAAATAAACAAGAATTCAAGAACGATTTGTAGTAGTAATTTATATATAATATAAGCTTAACATTTTTACGGTAGTCTTGCATTTATATAAGGTAACACGAAAATTACCCTTTAGCATGGGGTTTTGTGTTATAGACTTACATAACTACATTCGCAAACATATTCATATGTGTACTAATGTATTATTTGAAATAATAATTTATTTCATATTAATGTTATTTTAATACTGTTGTAATACATTTTATAGTAATAAAATCTTTATAAAGATCTAAGTAAAAAACCAACCAAATTAAGCTGAGTTAATCTCGAGTTTTCTTTATCTTTAATATTTGATTTGTACGCAAGCTGTTTTTATACTGAAATAATATCTATCGAAACTAACATCTCGAAAGTTTCGTATTCCGGATTGAGAAACGGAGACAAGACAGATAGCTGTTTTGTATTATTTTGGAAGGCTTTATTTTCGAGAGAATTTAGGTTCCGTTTCGAACAAGCCGTGAGATCCGACTGACTATTTCTAGTATAATCTGGCATGACAGTCAGCCTACTTAATCTGCCCATTCGTTACATTGCCCTCCGCCTCATCTTGCTCGCCCTGAAGAAGTTCAAAGTTTCTTCGATAACGGTGTTATCCGAAGGATACTTCTTGAAAATCTTTGATTTCGCTGCGCGACTTCCCAAAAAAACTACGGTTCCGATTCGTCTGAAATTTTGATAGTAGCCGTCTAAAAGAATGAACAACTCTAAAGTAAATCTCATTAGCGATACTGGCACCATCGGGCGGTGGGGCTTAGTACTTAGCAGGCCATTCTCGTAATGTAATGGCACGGCTACCGTAATACTGTTTTGTCACAGCCTCGGCAGAAAAGAGAATCGGGGTTAATCCACTAATTTCCTCGATAATCACTTTCTTTATCTCTACGTAGCACTTTGCACATTCATCACACAATATAGCTCGGCTGATCTTGATCTTAGCCGGTTCTTCGCCGAATTGCAGTTATGTAATTGGGTATGTGTTATGTACTACAGAGACACGTGGACTTTTCACTGGAATTTGGCACTATTTGCACAGACACAACCGAAGTGTTTTGGGAGAAAAATGGAATTGACCCGCGTGGCCACCGTCACTGTCGGCTTAAGCGGCACAGACGAGGATCAACGGGACCCTTCCATGGAAGTTCGGTCTCGATAGACGAAGAGAACATTTGAGAAATTAAAGCTCCATATTCGAAGCTGTTTCTAATCAACAACTAATCAAGTTGGCGCGTGTTTTGAATCGCGTTTGGTATCTGGGGAATTATTAAGGAATTTAATTTGGGTTTGCTTCACTGGCCACTACAAGGAGGGTCGACAGGACTCCATCCTGGGGTGTGCCTCTTTTACCATTTAAGCGGTGCCCCACTCTGATTGCACCCGTCTGCAACCTAGGAGTTTCCTTATCCACAGGTTGATTGCTGGGTGTGTGTTAGTCGCTACCAGGCGATTTTTTATTGCGTTCTATTTGCCTCCAAGAGGACGCCACAGCAACTGCTGGCCTATGCGAAAGATACCTCAATTCTCGAGGACTTTAAAATCTCTTAAACACTGCCGCGACGTTCATAAATATTCTTTACAGGGTCAGAAAGGCATACTTCTTGCTATTACTATAATTTACAGCAATATGATAAAATCTTATCGGAGTGTCGGGTATAAAAATACACTCAACAGTAAATTACATTCATAAAGATGGCCATATCAATTACTTATCTCAGACAACATAAATTTGAAAAATCAATGACAATCATAATAAAAACAAGGTGGGGATGCAATTGGATCCTCGTCATGTTATCACCAGACTCCGCTGTCTTCTTGTTTTGTCTTTTTATTTTGCAATAGTTCAGAATTAAAGATTATTTTATTCGGAAGAATTCCATTTTATTTATAATCGTACTAATTTACTCAAAGAATTTTTGCTCTCTTCCAATACCTCTAAGATATATGCTGTACTCTCATCATCGTCTTGTTTTTCATCTTTAAATAAAAAATTTTCGTGTACTGGCATTAGTGCACGCAGAACACTTATGGTATTGTTATGGTCAGTTTCCTCATAGCCAGCATAAATACGGCGTTTGCAATTACATTCATTTTCCTGAAATATAAAGAAAGAGAAGTAATATTTAAGTTCAATCTATATAAGAGTAAATTTTTATTTGTCCAATATCAGTTAAATGACTGATAGATGAAAACAGCCTAACTTAACCTTAATAAAATGTACTTTTGGTAATAGTTTTGAGGCTGTTCGTGAAGGTCAAAGTTTTCAGCCAGGCAGGCTCCTGTTTTCATTTACTTTTGCGTTTTCAGCCCAAACGTTTCCTTTTCATTGTTAGATGGAAAAAATTTTCCCAATTTTTTGTAAAAATGTAGTGCGGATGCCACATTTCAGTGTAGTTCGCGGAAGAAAGCCTTTGTTAGGCTTAACAACCGAAGTATCGATACCAAAATCGCGCTGCGTCAGCTTTTTGCACGAAAACGCAAGTTGTTGTTGCTCTGACCAATTATTTCAAAGCAAAATTTGAAGTTTAGAGTTTGTACCTGTGAGATAAACGCACGTAAGGGCCTTACCACGTAGGGGTATGTGTGATTAATGTTGGTAAACTGAGCCCATAGACTATATTAAGAAAGGGATGATTTCACTTTCGAAAATACAGCCAGGTATCAAATCTATCTTCGAAAACTCATGGCTTATATTCCGTTTTTTTTTTTTGAGGAAATTCCTATTATGAATAGATTTTGACCAGATGCAATTGTTCGGAGCAGCAGCCGTTAATAGCTCTTAAGTAACATCAAAATCGTATCTCTTAAGCTTTCTATTATCGCGCTCAACCCTGAGCACGTATGCACGCTCTCAGTGCATACACGCAGACACATAAGTAACGTTCTTACTTCTTATAATCCACTGCTTCGACCCTTCGGTCAGGCAGTCGGTCAGTCCTCTTCAAGCCAGTCGGAAGCCCTGGAGCACGCGCATATGTGAATTGGACCTGTCTGAAAGCTGCCGAAGCTTATCCACTGACCCAGGTTCCACAGCCTGGAGCGCCAAGATCTCATTGATGTGTGCCTGAAAGACCAATCGTCGATTATTGAACCTGTTTTCCAACTAGTGCCAATCTAGTGCCACAGCATAATTGCCATCTAAGATTTCCAGCGACCGAACAGTCTCCAATGCCGAATCCCGCAGACTGGAACGCAAATGCTGGAGCTTTTCTATGTTTGTTAAGTCCGGATGGCTGTCGATGATGGTGGCAAACATTGAATCCAGTTCGCATACCCGCAGCTAAGCGTCGGCAATTGTATAGGAGGCAGGGAGGTAGAAATTGCCAGCCAAGGTAGAATAAAGCGGCATGCGGCCGCTACTCTAAGCCAAGTGTCTCAAAAATGTCACACAATCCACTGTGAATTTCGCTTCGATCCGATTCCTCAAGCACGCCGTGAAACATCTTAAATTTGCCGATCAACTTCTCGACTTGCTCTTGCTTTACCACGAGCATGTAGTAATCACAGTCCGACGACTCATTCTGCCAAGCGGTAACTAACCTTTTCATCTTTTCCCATAATTCCGTTGACTTTAGCTTCAAAAAAGACACCCTGTTTTGCTAACTGGTCATATTGGAATATCGTTAGCAGCGACGATCGTCTCTAGCGAGAAGATGATCGCAAAGAGTAACACGAGCAATAGACAACAATAACCGAGCACAGCAAGCGAACAGCTATGTACAAACCTTATATACAAAGGCGGCCGGTGTAAGAAACGTTTCTTGCGGGAAGATGACCGAAAAGAGAAGCGCATGCCAACAGCTATGTGCACTACCGAATATGCAGGCGAGGCCCGTGTATATATGTATGGATAACTTATGTGGTCGATGACACTGGGTGAGATGGCAATTAATTTAGACCTTTAAATGCTATATTAATTTGTGATTGCACTGATGGAAAAACTGGAGAGATGTCAGAGGAAGCCCAGGAAGCGAGAAACAAAGATTAAAAAAATACAGGAATATGAAAACGTGCAGAAACAAAAAAATCCAACCAACTTTCAGAAAAAAAAAATGTTATTTAAATTTTTTATAATTTAGGTTTAGTTTAAAATGAAATAAATAGTAAAATAAAGTACTTTATCGATACAAAAATTAATACAAATTGAGAATTTTATATAGGAAAATATGCACCGGTAACACGGTTAAACTTTAAGACATTATTATGAAGCTTTTATACAATGTAGCATAATTTGTCCACAGTGCGGCTGTTGCATAGGCATTCTCGGTAATACTTGCCGGTATCCCTCAAGATTTCCACCCCTTGTCGTAATGTGTACACCGGTAGGTTCCCGAAGCGCTTTCCGGCGATTGCCTAAGCGTTCTCGACAATACGCACTGCTATTCGCGTACCATTTCCCCTCCCTTTCAGCAATGTTTATACTAGTAGGTATAGATACATATAACTGGAGTTATTTTGTTGAGAATAATATAAATAATAACACAAACTTTATTTATTTATAATACAATTTCTAACTTACTTTTTGACTTCCTTTCGAGTTCTCATCGGTATCTTGAGGACTACAAAACCATTCGGTACTAGCTGCCATCAAATCTTCAACCTTTGGTCTAAAGCACTTGCACCAAAATACAAATGGTATACATATAAAGAAGAAACAGTTTACTATAAAAATTCTTGTTTTAGAAGTGCATTCAAAAATAATTCCCGGCTGAATGGTATTAAATCCGAATTGATTTATTGATTGAACACAAAAGCCGAAAATACCTTTTAAAAAGCCTGTGAACAAAAAATTATATTTTATTATACATCATTAAGTAATAAAGAGCAGTTAAAAATGTTAAGGAATAAATAAACTCTATTAAGCTATTAAGCGGCCGCTGCTCAGCCGAGTACGAGATATTCAGATATAAGGAGACGAAAGAATTCTGCTGCATATGCATATGCGGTAACAACAACAAAATGCACTTCTTCTATGCCGCAACACTGGCAATAATTTACGATGTTTAAGCTGCTAGACCCAACAAACTCTTTTAGTTTTATTTGTTTATTTAATGTTTTCTTTTTATTTAACGTACATGCAGCGCTAATATGGGTGTATTGTAAATGTTTTGGAAAGTATTCCGTTGGCTTTGAAGATATCTGGATTTTGTACACAGAATCACATATAATTATGTGAAACGTTTCATAAAAAAACGAGGGGGAACGTTGTGAGTTGCTGCGGAGACCGCAACTCTACATTTATACTCGATACATAGTCAGTGTGGCTACATTGAGCGACAATGCGGGGGCTGATGGGGGTGTGGCGAAATTTTGACACGAAACGGTCCGATATCGTTCTCTTTCGTAGTGATCAGACGTGTTTTTGTTTTGCGCTCCGCATTTTTCCTTTTGTTTCGAATAAACAGCCGGAGTTTTCCTAATTAAATTCTAAATATACTTTCTAACCAGACAACAATCTGGAAACCTATTCTTTTACGCGAGTGCATGCCTTTTGATTTGTGTTAAAATATTATTTAACTTTTTATTTTTCGGCGTCGGCTTGTGTTGTGTTGTGTTGTTGCAGTGAGTGAGTATTGCATTGCAGTCCGCTCTCGTCTGGTAGCTTTTGTTGTCTTATCACTCTCTCGCTATCACCTCAACCTCAATAACTGTTCTTTCTCTCTCGCTCTTTCAACTTTCTGAGCAATAGCGCTCTCTATCTAGTAGCTCTCGCTATAACCGCTCTCCACTCTGCTCTCTTTTTTTCTTACCAATTCCGCTTTGAGCGTTGTCTGGCACATTGGTCTGATACCAATTTGTTTTGGAAATTTTTAATTTTTTTGATTTTAATAAAATATTTGAATAATAAAAAAAAATGGAATTCGCTGTGGTCTGCGCTAAAAAAACCTGCAAGAAGCAGATCACTCACGATCAGCCAAATGTCCCCTGCTGGCTCTGCGACAGCGTAGTCCACGCAAAATGCGCGGGATTTTCTGGCCTCGTGAGCGATGCCATAGCCAAACGTAATGGCTTGCATTACAGTTGCGAGGCATGCCGTGCGGTGGAGAAAGACATGGTGGCTTTCATGAGGCAGACGCGGAGTGGCTTTAAGGAGCTGACCGTTGGTTTTAAAAACCAGTACGATCGGCTCCTAGCCATGGAGGCTCAGTTTAGCGGTTTAAAGCTGCTGAATGAGTCTCCGAGGCGCAAAAAGGTCACTCCGCGGGACCTGCAAGTGCCAACCGTCACTCAGCCGTCCGCCGCCGAAAAATTGACTCCGACCACTCCAAGTGTACAGCAGTTGATCTCGTTTGCCACTCCAAAGGCAACGAAAGCTGCTGGCGATGCAGATTCGGTAGCCGAATTCATCGCCTCGGAGAATGTGCAGCCAAGTACGTCTGCTGCGTCCGTGTCCGTGGTGTCCGCAAGTTCACTAGTTGTCCCGTCTATCCCGATCCCACCAGTAAATAGACGTTCCGGACCTCCGGATATTGCCACCACAGGTACTAGACCTGCGGTGACTAAACCACTGGTGGGAGTCCCACCAAAACGACAAGTTTTTGTTTCACGGCTGGCCCCTGACCTCACATCTAATGATGTAACTGCTTTCATTCAAAGCAAAATAAAAGCCGTGGGTTTAAAGGTGGAGAAATTTAACTTCTCTTATGCCAGGGAGATAGCGTCGTTTAAGATAAGCATCTCCCCAACTCAATTTGACACCATTTGCTCCACCAAATTTTGGCCGGAGCATTTGGTGGTGAAGGAGTTTAAGGCTAAGAAGAAGAATAGGCCCCCCATATCGCTTCCAAATCTTTCCAGCGTGCCACCCTCAACCTCTACTTCCTCTTCCTCAACTTCCCGTCTTGCTCCAACCTTTGCAAAAAACTAACTTCTCTTTTAGTAACCTATCAGAATGTAAGAGGCTTGCGTAGTAAGCTCAGCATTCTTTTCCGGGATAGTGTTGCATTTGCTTCCCACGTTATTGTGTTTACTGAAACCTGGTTAAAGCCGGACATTCTTAGTTCCGAGGTTTTGGCAGGTCGGTACACAACTTTTAGAAAGGACCGTTCGTCTCGACGTGCAGGAGGGGTTCTAATTGCAGTGGACTCTTACTTCACGTCAGAACACTTCACAGTCCAAGTTCAACAGGAACTGGAATTCCTGTGTGTAAAACTGATTCTTCCCGCTTTCGCTATATTCATTACTTGCTCGTATATCCCACCTTCTTCGGATATTTCAATTTATGAGCAGCACTTGTCCGCTTTAACCGCCGTTGCTTCCTCGCTATCTGATAAAGATCGTATGATAGTTCTTGGTGACTTCAACTTGCCAGGAACTGTTTGGTCTTCGGTAAACGAGTCTAGTATCCTAGTGCCCATGTCACGACATGACTTTGTTGACGGCTTGCTTGACCTGTCCTTGTCTCAAGTCAATCATGTGAAAAATTCCTTGGGTCGATTGCTTGATCTATGCTTTGTATCGGATCCGACCATAGTGTTGTTAACCCGAGCCCTTCCGCTCACTATACCTGAAGACGCCTACCACCCTACTTTCGAGGTGTCGCTAGACATAGGACCAACTGTATTGGATCGGTCGAGTAGACTACCTGAACGTGTCCGCTGCTTTCGTAAAGCCGAGTTTGCGAAGCTTAATAACCTAATTAGGGATTTTGATTGGTCCGCTTTGTACTTGTGCACTGATGTCACAAAAGCCACAAACATTTTTTACAATGCTCTTGGCACATTTTTTGATTCTTGTGTCCCGCTCTCTTGTCCGATTAGATCTGGAAAACCCCCTTGGTTTACCAAAGAGTTATCCAGTCTAAAAAACTTAAAATCAAGACTTTATAAAAAATTTCAAGAAGTGGGTTCTCCTACTTCTCACTCTCGTTATGTAATAGCTCGGTCAAACTTTTCAGTTCTTAATGCTCAATGCTATAAGAACTACCTATCTCGTTGCAGGATACGTTTTTCTCAGGACCCTAAACAGTTTTACTGCTTCGTAAACAGTAAGCGTAGAACGTCCGCACACCCATCCTCGCTATCATTTTGTAATACGTCGGCAAATAATGATCAGGCAATTGCCGATCTTTTTGCCCAGTTTTTCCAAACTACCTATTCTGAGGAACGCTACTCTGGTCAACCGTACCCATACGGATTACCGAGGTCGAACGGCATTTTCAGTCCCTTGTTAAATGAGTATTCCCTACTTCAAGATCTTCGACTAGTTAAGCCGGTGTTTTCACCGGGTCCAGACGGGGTTCCAGGTTGTGTACTCAGGTACTGCGCCGAGGCTCTGTGTGGACCATTGCTTAAACTATTCACCATGTCCATTGATTCATCTTGCTTCCCCCCAATCTGGAAGGAATCGTTTATAATTCCTCTCCATAAAAAAGGTAGTAAGTCTGATGTAAAAAATTATAGAGGTATAGCAAAGTTATCCGCTATTCCCAAATTGTTTGAGAAGGTTTTAACTCCGCACTTGCAACATCTCTGCAAGTCACTTATATCTCCAACTCAGCATGGATTTATAAGGCGGCGATCAACCACCACGAACTTGTTAGAGTTTACCTCTTTCATTATTAAAGGCTTTCAAGGTAACTTACAGACGGATGTTATTTACACCGACTTTAGTAAAGCATTCGACTCTGTAAACCATTCCAACCTCCTGAGATGGATTTCTAGCTATCTTTGTTCTAGGTCTCAAAGAGTCCTCTTCAAAAACTCCCTCTCTTTACCAGTAAAGGTTTCTTCGGGAGTACCACAGGGCAGCCATCTAGGCCCCTTACTCTTCACACTCTTTATTAATGACTTGCCTTCAGTAATAACATACTCTCGAGTACTTATGTATGCGGATGATGTTAAACTCTGTGTCCAGTACAAGGACATTTCATTTCATTCTCGCTTGCAATCCGATCTCAATAGCTTTCAGTCATGGTGTTGTGCAAACTTGTTACACCTTAATGCCTCGAAATGCAAAGTTATTACATTTCATCGTTCTAACCCTTTGTTGGCTCCCTACACCCTATTTGGGGGTTCTCTTGAGAGAATTACCCTGGTGGATGATCTGGGTGTTATGTTAGATCCCAAGTTAAAGTTTTCCGAACACATTTCTACCATGGTAAATAAGGCCATGGGCGTGCTTGGGTTTATAAAGAGGTGGTCAAAGGAATTTGACGACCCCTATATAACAAAGACTCTCTATACCTCGCTTGTTCGTCCGATCTTAGAATACGGCTCCTGTGTATGGTGCCCTCAGTACAAAGTACACCAGGACCGTATAGAATCAGTACAGAAAAACTTTTTACTCTTTGCTCTGCGGGGCCTTAACTGGGATGCGGGTGTAAGACTCCCATCTTACTCTAGTAGACTATTATTAGTAAACCTCCCATCCTTAGTTAACCGTAGAAAAATGCTTGGTGTGATATTTATGCACAACTTGATCAGGGGTGACATAGACAGCCCTGATCTGTTGAGCCGCATAAACTTCACGATTCCTATTAGACTGACTAGAAACTTTATACCGTTGTTCCTTCCACTTTGTAGATCGAATTATTCCTTGCATGAACCGTTTAGGGTCTTATGCTCGGACTATAATTCCCTCTACCATATTATATCCTCCACTAATTCTCTTCCTCTTATTAAATTACTAATCCTTACACACCTTTCTAGTAATTAGTAATTGTAGTGGTATTTGTATTTTGTATTTTATTGCATGCTTAATTTCTTAATAAGTTTAGTGCTAATTTTCCTCGAAGGTTAGTCTAATATCTATCTTTCTTGCATGCTCGCGTTTGGTTCGGCTACGCACCGCGCGTCATGCGGCAGCGCCCCTCGGTCGGTTGGGCGGGAGGAGGGCTGCGTTTTGCCTGGGATCCGCGCGTAACAGCCTTCTGCTGGTGTCACACGGGCCACTTGACGGTGCAGTAATTGCATCGCCTCTTGTTAGATGCAGTCATTGCATGTCAACGTCCAATATAAGTGCGATTTCAAATACTCTTCGAAGGTAACAGTCTATAGAAGCCCCGGAATGCAAACTGGGAAAAGTTTAAAAAGACAGTTACTTCGAAGCTCGCGAGTCCGGGCTCAGTAAAATCTGCAGAGGACATAGAGAACTCTCTAGATACTCTATCCAACGCTTTACTGGACGCCTACCAACATCTGCCATTTGGTTGATATCCCATTCCGGGTTGAGTTGATGTTATTTTTTGCATATTTGGGATTTTGCGATTTGGAACCACCCCCTATCGTTCTGTGCCTATCAGACAGGCACGCCTTGGCATAACTTTGCCCAGTTCCCCCCGACATACAATCCGGAAGGAACCGGACAATTCCTTTAGATAGACATTTCATTACCTCGGACAAAACGCATTACCCGTTGTTCGGGGTACAGTAGTGTCATTGACAATCGGGCAGCCTTTGACTGACTTTATTGACTTACCTAATAAAAACAGCAGTATCAATATAAAAAGAGCTAAACGTAGAATTGTAAAAAAAAAAGAATGGTAGAATCTTAAATTATTGTTGGCGTTACTGCTCTCCAGGATGCACATATCATTTCGCTCTTCTGCAGGTGGGCAACTCAAGAGAAGCCCGGCCTCATTTTCTGAATTATGGTTCATTTTTTCACAGACATTGAAATTTATATAAGTTTCCAATTTTTCAAGGCAATGGCAGCGACATCTCCAGACACAAAAACATCTTGAATGTATTTTAATATCCATTGACCTCTTTGCTACATTGGCCATATTTGCATTGGGCTGTTTTAGGGTTTTTAGACGGATTCCCGCAGTGTCGCTTACCATATTGGTCTTAACAACAACTGAAAAGTAAACAATTAAATTAGTTCATAATTTTGCGAATACACCTAATTCTGTTTTTACACGGTAGATTGGTTCCTAGAAAAACCATGTAAAAAAAACCGTGTGAAAAAAGACATTTATCGAATACGCAAAAAAACGAAAGAGAAACAAATATGTACATATTCTCCTTATGCTCTTTCTTGTTTTCGTTTTGTTTCTAGCTGTTTGTGAGCTGTGTGTGTTTTTTTAAATTTGTGTTGTGTTATATTAAACCGTGTTAAATGGAGCAAAACCGTGTACAAACATTAGATTTTAATAGAAAATAAATGATTAATATTAAAAATATAATAGCTTACCATCGCAACTAAATTTAATGTTTTTCTTTAAGCCAATTATTAAAGGCAACATAAATGATACAGATTCACCAACAGATGGCAATAGTACTTTCTTAGCAGTTATTGTACTTAATATCCCCATTGATTTTTGACAGTTACAAATATATATAACAAATTCCTTCGCTTCAAATCCTTTGTTAATAATTTCGACTATAATTTGAAGAGCATCTTTTGTCGTGGTATCAGTAATAACTCTAGATATTTTCACTTTATAAAGATTTTGTAATAAAGGCGTATTCTCTCGGAAGGGCATTTTGATTTTCATGCTAATTGCTATTTGCATGTTAATATGAAAAATAAATATAAAATATCATCAGTATCATAGTATATCATGGGTAATTTCATAGGGAAATACAATAAAGTGTACATTTTATATTTTTTCAGATCCGACTCTTACTCGTGTGCTATTGTGTAATACTATTATTGAATAAAAGAGAGAGTAAATTGAAACCTTCACATTGAAATGTAATATTCAAATACAAAATTTCAAAGACTAGTAACAGAAATAAAACTTCAGCTGCTGATCCAATCAGTTCTGCTACTGCCACATGACCAAAAAGACCAAAAAAGACCAAAAAGATAACTGCGCTTTTGCCCATCCGGTCAACACAGAAGGCGAATAACCTTATCAAAATTTGTAACATATGATTACTCTTAACTAAAAATGTATATGTAATCCCACTTACATACCTACATATTTATTAATATAATATATATACATAAATAAAATAAATATATAATAATAATAATAAATAATAACCATAATTCATTAAAAATTATTAAAGCCCTGTGTTGAGCGTAACTCAGAGGCGTAACTCTCGATTGATTCAAATAATCACAGAAAAAAAAAAGATTTATAAGAGAAAAGTGGGATATAGCGATTATGAGCGTAGTTAGAAGCAACCAAGCAATAACAAGAACAACATGCTGCGCTAGGTTCAGAGATCTGCTCTCTGTAATGCTTTTTGTGCTGCAGGAACACCCTAATTCTATCGGGAAAATTTGGTTTGATTCGTGGAGTAAAAACTCTATTCTGTTCATATATTTACACTTATTACCTGGTAATTGTCCTTCAAGCATTTTAAAGTACAAGGGTTTCTCATTATTTGGAAATTTCTTCAACTTAGTTATCGAAGCTGTATAGTCTCTAAGGTTTTCTATGCTTTTAATTGAAACTTTGGATTTTTCTGACTCCTTTCTCATATTAGCTTCTATAAAGTTTTTGAGTTCATGTTTAGGTATAACATTTTTGACGCCATCAAAAATTACATCGCTTCTGAAATTATTAATATAACCGTTTTCAATAGGTGTCCTTCTTTTAGAATCTGTTTTATTTATCGATTTTGCTTTTTGAATAACAAGTTTGTGACCATGTAGCCGTGTTGACTTTTCCATCTGTAGTACATCTATATTTGTAGTAAATAGAATTGAAAGATTTCCGTTTGCATATATTCCAGTTAAGCTATTTAATCTGTCGATTGTATAAAGATAAATTTATTGATTAGATATGAAAATTGTAGCACGTAATGTAATGCTCTAGGCAGAGGAATCAGCCACTAGAAATTGTTTTGTTCGTTCCGGGTATGTATAGGAATTTAAACAGAGACTTTTTTAGAATGTTTTAATTATTGATTTTGTTTTTTGAATAACAAATTTTTGACTTTGTAGCCTTGTGGATTTTTCCATCAGATCAGTATTTTAGAATACGACTTTTTAATCCACAAAAACAAAAAATTGATTCAAGATTAGTCGTTTGATACTCGACTCTAGATAGAAAGTCTTTCTCCTGACAGAGGTACCTCCCATCCGGGGGTCTGGAGACGTCTACAAATAATAATGTTGAGTTTCGTCTATCATTCAGTCTCTCTTTTCGCAGAAAAGTAAGCAAATAACACCATTACTAAACATTAACATCGGTTACTTATCACAAAATAAAATCATCGCGCTAGAACCTATGCAGTTGATCTAAAAGAGAAAGGCATTTTTATACCCGTACGCAAAACGAGTGGACCTAATTCGGTTTTCACACGGTCTTTTGTTTACTATCAACAATTTTTAATTATACCCGATACTCAAAATGAATATTGGGGTATATTAGATTTGTGGTGAAAGTGGATGTGTGTAACGTCCAGAAGGAATCGTTTCCGACCCCATAGGTTAGGTTAGGTTAGGTAGAGGCGGCTGCCAGGCTCGCTCGGAGCCCGGCACAGTTAGGCCGGTTTCGGCCCGTTGTGATACCGCTTGGGATCATTCCCTCCCTGCAGTGAGATTTCATGTCAACAGTTGTCCCATCCAGATGCTCTTATAAAGTTTGCGATCTTTCTGGGACATAGCGTGGACATCTCCGAGATGTCGGTCAGAAAGGCGGAGCCCAAGTGATGCAGCCTCCTTCTGCTGAGAGCTGGACAGGAACAGAACAGGTGTTCCGCTGTCTCCTCCTCGTCTCTGCAGCTGCGGCAGAAATCATTGTGTGGGGCACCCAGCCTACTGGCGTGGGTGCCTACTAGCCAGTGTCCTGTGAGGGAACGTATGACTGCGCTGCACCTTTCCCTGCCTAGTTTACAAAGCTCTGCGGTGGGCTTCTTATCTATGGTCGGCCATGTTTGCCGAGCTGTGCGACAACGTGGCCCTATTTGCCACTTGTTGTCTGTTAGTCGCATGTACTGCTCTTTTATGATGAGCTTGCAGGTGGCCATAGGCATTCAAATATCCTCCTTATCTTGGAGAAGGGGGGTCGTAGTACCAGATCTGGCCAGCTCGTCCGCTATGCAGTTGCCCTCGATGTCCCAGCGGCCCGGGACCCATATACGGCTGATAGCAAATTGCTGAGCCATCTCGTGAAGAGATCTTCGGCACTTCGCCACAGTAGCCGAGTTCGAGGAGATCGCGTTAAGTGATCTGATCGCCGCTTGGCCGTCCAGCTTTGAAGATGCTTATGGCCCCGTCTGGGCCGGGGAGTCCCTCGAGCCATTCGTCTCTATGAGGGATAATTGTGCTGAATGGAGTCTCCGTGTTTTCCCTTGGAACTTGATAGTCCGTTCTTGCTGGGACCATGTTCGACCCCATAAAGTATATATATTCTTGATCAGTATCGACTCGGCGTCGATTGAGCCCTGTCTGTCTGTCCGTCTGTCCCTCCCTATCAGCGCCTAGTGCTCAAAGACTATAAGATTTAGAGCAACGACATTTTATATCCGGACTTCTGTGATATGTCACTGTTACAAGAATATTTCAAAAGTTTCACTACTCGCAACGTTACCACTTCTTTTTAATGTATCTGAAAAACAATCTCTCTTAAATACGTTTCCTGGGGACCACAAGCTTTCTGGTGCCATTAACAATTAATCTGTCTATGGTTGGCACCAATTTAATATATTTACTTGTATACTCTTTGAGTATTGCGTATATTCTAAAGACTTCTATTATTTTATTATCAGTATAATAAGTCGATGATTACTGGTATACTTACAATACAGTTGGGACAACCCTCCACCACCTATTATGACGCTTTCTAAAAATATCAATTTTAGTTGCAACGAAAGGTAAAGGGGTACTCATATCGTAAACGGAGTAACTGCCGCTTGTTTCCCTGTAAATAGAAAACAAAACATATGATATAGAACAACGAAGTTACAATTAAGATAGTATAAACAATTTTTTGACCGTAAGATTACTCTTTCTGTGTTTGATAACACTATATACTAAATTATCTATTTTTTGTTTACATAAGAAGTACTTAGAAAGTAGCTATGTCCGTCAGATCGTCGACCTCAGTTTCTGCCCGACTCACGAGCAGAGTCAAACATCCGTAGCTGCTCTGACAAACACACTCTTTCTCACGATACAGAAAAACAGATTAGCATGTGGGTTTCGTTCTTTATAGTTTTTAAGCTCTTTGGAACCATTGAACGATGATCCGAATGAAAGACGGTACCTCTATTTGTAATTTCCACACATTCAGCTTGCCATTGGTCTTGGTTGGGAAACTGCAGAATGATTTTCTTCGGAGATTCTGAGATTTTCAAATATAATGCAGTAATACTACGCTTTTAAAAATCAGCCAATCTTATAGAAAATTAATTAATCGATTATGAAGTAATGAGTATGAGTAATGAACGCTGATAATTTCAAAGTTAGGTCTTGTCCTATACTCTGTTACATATTTCGGCACGCAGAGAATGGTATATACTTTCAACTACAAAAGACATTTCCCTAGGTGTTTACAAATAAAGTCTAAAAGTATAGCTTACCATGTGGTACTTAGATCACGGGTTAGCTTTGACTTTTCACAATTGCAATCATTTGGATTACGAAAGCAACCGCATGATTGACGAATTGGCTTTCCGTTAGATCGATCCTCATGTTGTGAGTTAATATGACAGGGATTAAAGTAGTACTGGTTTTTTGATACAGTTAAGTTGCCATCATATTTATTTTGTGATTTACCTCGTGAATTTTTATTTTTTCCGCCACAAGTATCGCAGGGAATTTCATCATTGTCATCTAAATTTTTAAAGTTATAGTTTTCATTATTTGCTAAACATTTGTGGTTTTGTAGATTTGGTATGAAATGTGCGTTTCGTTTGTTTATTTTCATATCTTCAGACTGTGGAAAATAAATCGATTTATAATAATGGTCAATTGAGCTTCTTGATAAAGGCTTTGTCATAATGGTAGGAACATTCTTTATAAGATTACGATCGGGTATATAATATTTTAAAAGAATTTCATTTTGAATACTATGGTTTTCTTTATTACTTGAATATTTAACATCATTTAAGTTATCTGTAAAAAATTATGTTTAATATACATATGTATTAAAACAATATACACAATAGTATGATGGGGTACTGGTATGGGTTAGCCACAAATAAATAGTTGATCTACGTTTTTGTGACGTGCCCGGGTATTCAGTTCTTGTTCAACAAATTTATACCACTAAAAACCAAATGCACCAAGCCAAGACAAAGTCCATGGTTTACCAACGAGATAAAAAATAACATATCACCGAGATGTCTTCTACAGTAAATGGAAGCGGTATAAAACGGACCACTTCCGTTTAAGGTACAAAGAGTTAAGAGCAAATGTTAACAAAAGTATAAGATCTGCTAAGCGTAGTTACTATAAGCAAAGACTATACAATACCAAGATGTTGCATGAGCGACCAAAAAGCTGTTCTATGGCGGGTCCTAACATTAGAACCCCAACGGCACGAGGGAGCGCGCGGGGCTTCAATTCCCTTTTCGCCTGTACTTCGTCTCTACCGCGACCCCGCTGCCCATCGGTTTTGTCTGTTCGGCAATTCTGGACTCTCGAGCCTCAGCACCGTCGAAGCGGTGGTCGCGGATCGCCGATGTCTTTGGAGCGGCACAGTGGGACCTTTGGCCGTCTCAGCTTGCTAAATTAGTTAGTGAATATGATTTTTTTACTATTTCGGCTGAGTCCCCACTCTGCCGCGCCAAAGACATCAGCGACCACGCTGCCCTACGGTTTCGGCACGCAGACGATTCATATTTTGTTTTTGTATTCTTTCTCTCGAGACACACCGACTCGACGCTGACCGAGGCATTGACGAAGCCGAGTAGCATTTCGGAGGCGAAGGTAGCGTAAAAGAGAATTGAAGTAATAGCCCCGCGCGCCCGTACCATGAAGCGTCAAACGAAAATTGAAAAAGAATTTGTTCCTCATGCAACATCTTGGTATTGTATAGTCTTTGCTATAAGTCTAAGTTCCAAAATTGCTCTACCATTAAGCAGATGTATGCAGATGACTTAAGCATTCTTATTACGGTTGTAGGTAAATCGACCCTTAGCTCCTAATGGACCCTTAGCTCCTCCTAGCTCTCTCAGGGATATACGTGACTGGGCGGAAGAAGGACCTCATCCTCTTTACCAAAATGAACACCCTAAAAACTTACCAAACTAGGCTAACCCCACAATCACAAGTAAAATACCTAGCCACAGTAAAAATTTATTTTTACATTACCATTTTTTTGGCACAATCAATCACTTACCTGCTGAAAATCCAACGAGATTCTCCTTAGTCGGCAGTGGCATAGTCTTTTGTATTTTCTTTCTAAAGGGAAAACTGCATTTCATATTTATTGAACCTACACAACCAAAAACAATTTGTTGTTCTACTCTTGGGGAGGGTATTACATATAATGCATAGAGAAAAGTATCTATAAAGTACATAGTACACAGTAATGTACACCTAACTATTGATGCTGATCAAGAATATAAAGTATATGGGGTCGGAAACGATTCCTTCTGGACGTTACACACATCCACAAATTAGGAAACGTTGGAAAACCAAATTCTTTCTTGTTTATTTGTGTTGTCTTATTTTGAACCGTGCTAAATAGAATAAAATCCTATACAAAATTTAAATTTTTTAATTTTCAAACCGTGCTCATTAATTTATTATGACTTTACCTGGCCTATTAAATTCGAAACTTCGAAAAATATCTAAAACGAGCGGGAGCGTTGTGAGCCGCGGAAATGCCGCGTCCCTACATTTACACCCGATACTCAGACAGAGAAGGCAATACTGCACGAGAGAGAGTGTGCGAGGGAGATAGCACGTAATTAAGCGCGAGAAAGGCGTAGCGGAACCACTGCAAGGGATCATCAGTTTGAAGAACATGTTTTGACACGCAGACAGGCAACCTGAACGACATGGCCATATTTACTCTATTGATATAGAATTCATGTGTGTTCTTCATATGGAACCTACCATTTTAGTTTTTTCTGGATTGTAAGCGTCTGGTCAAAAAAAATACTCTCTCCAAGAACTAAGAACAAATGGCAAAAAAATGTATATCTTACTCTGAAATAGCGGGTCCGAAATTTGTCTCATCATAGTCGTCGTTTAATTGATAATCTGCAATATACTCCTGTAAAATTTAGATTTTTAAAAATAAATAACAAGAATGAGCAGAAAACAGTCGAATGTTTCGAATATAATACTGTTATTTTTCTACGATTCTTACTCTGGATTGACTTTGTTTTATGTGATTTATGTGATTTTCTAAGCAACGCTGAGTCAAGACTGACTAGTTCTAGTATAATGGCATGACAACACAATAGTCGGCCAACATATATCCGCTAATTAACTAGTTTTTCACAAATTAATTTCGTCGGACAATTTTTGGTTGCATTACGTGTAATGCTCTTAGTCAGACGGACGGGTCCATTGATGGTATGGACAGTGAGGTTGTCGCTATCGACTTTAGAATCTGTATAATTTTTCCTTTATTATATTGACGATCCCGAGTCCGCGATACCTCTTAATTTTTTTATTATTTACTATTATTTCTATATATGGTCTTCCTCGGTGTCTTCCGAGGCACTCTGCTGAAAATTTACATCCATTTTCATTTGTCCACTTTGACATTCCCTTGATCGTTTGACCGGCTGATTCGGTGCACTGCTACCCGCCTGAGTCTGATTGGTTTGATAGTTAGTGGGATTCTGTGCACTGCCCTGGTTTAGGAAATTTCTAAATTCATTAAATAATCCTAGAATAATTTCTAGAAGTACTTCGGTTTTGATTGTTAGAATCATTACAACTATAACGAGTGTAATAAGTTCCAACATTCCTACGATTGCTATTTACGTTCCTTGGGTGTTCGTGATACTTACGAAATTTTCGTAGATTCCTAAGTCTTGAGCTGATTTGTCTATATTAGCTATAGTAGAAATGTCTTTCTTTGCTAAAATGATGAACAATTTATTGGGTAAAGCATCTTCTATTGTATAACATATTCAGCTAACTGACATAACCTTTGATTTATATCTATCAAGCATGTGCACATAAATGTTCAACTGTTTTTTCTATTTATACATTCTTGTTTTTATTCAGACAGACGTATGTAACATCAACTCAGCTGCAATCAATACGTTAAGCCCTGTGAAATCTTGTTAAAATTACCTTATCATAAGGATCTGTATATCCTTCTAAAATTTTATGTCTGTCAGTTTTTTGATTCGGTTCCATGTAACCTTTTTGAGAACATTTGTTTTCCATTTCATGGATTTGTGAATTATCCAACATATTTAGATCTGTTTGATTAAAGTCAGAGTCTGGTATGTCCGTATAAGCCTCTGGTAGATCTATGAAATTTCTTATTAATATTTTCCATCTTTCAAATATATATAGAATATATAAAATAAATATTACCATTTCCATCGGGTGTTTTAATAATTCGAACTAGTCCCAGATTCCCATTATAATTCTGATTAAAACCAGATATATGCTGGAAAGATGCTGTGTCCCTTTCCCTTTTTTTTCGAATTAATTCTTTTTTTGGCATACCGGATTTACTTTTCACAAAGGCTTGCGGGCTGTTTCTTTTCACTATAATATATATAATCATAAATAAGTTAATTGAAATAAAAGCCAGCGGGAAATTTTTATGTGTATACACGTATGCGCCTGAAAATTCAAATACTCCAGGCTCAGTCCTTATATCCGATTTAAATAAAAGATCTGTTATGTAAGAAACATATTTCAGGCTATGTGTCATTTTGTCCACGTTCTGCTAGAGCAAAGATATTTTGTATCCAGACTTCTGTGATATGTCACTGCTACAAGTGTATTTTGCAAACTTCGCCCCGCCCCCACAAAGAACGAAAGTCTGAAGATACGAAAAATATAAAAAATAGTGCAATTTTAAAATTGGTCCGATATCACAGGAGTGTGGATACCAAATCTAATTGCTCTAGCTGTTATAGTCTCTGAGATCAAGGAACTCACTTGCCAAAGATTTTCGTCCTTTGTGGGGGCGGAAGTGGGCGAGCGATGTTTTGAAATATACTTGTTATAGTGACATATCACAGAAGTCTGGATACAAAATGTCGTTGCTCTAGCTTGTGAGGGCACAACCTTCACAAAAGGGCAGCAACACCACCCCCTGGAGGGACAACTTATGATTTTCCTTATAAATACTCATTATAATTTTTGACCCACCTAAAGACAATGCCATGAATTTTGATTTACCCTCCCCTCTGTAGATACCTTCCCAATTATAATAAGAAATAGGTTAAGGAAACCCAAAACGACGAGGCGTCTTAATTTCTATAGGGTAAAAGAACACTGAACCAGTACCAAGAACCAACCATATCATCACCAGCGGTGGCCCTACCGCAACACAGCAGCAGCGCACCACGGAAACGAAAAGAAAAGCACAAAAGAGAGGGAAAAGGAGAGAGAGCCAACGATCGCTCCCACTCTCACACCCACGCATCCAAAGCCAGATTACCAACGGCCAACACAACAGCAGCGCCACGAATACCAAGAGAAATGGCAGAAAAGAGAGGGAAACAGAGAGAGCCGATCGATCTCACACCCATGCTGCCGAAGAGCCGACGGCAATACGCCTAAAACCATCCCCGAGCAAAGGCCGGCAGCCGAAAGCTGCGAAGCAGCGAAGCGGCAGAGAAGCTGCCGAAAAAGATAAGAATGAAGCCTGGCTTGGTCCAGCGGGAGCGAGACTCGAGAGTGATTTCTGAACTCCCACGAGGATCAGTAACACAAATTCCTTTGCCCCAAGTACTACTATAAACAATGCAAACCAATTTGTGTGGGGGAATTTTTAAATCCCCAAATGTAAATTTCAGTCGTTAGACAAACCAAATAATCCGATATCAAAAGCAAACAAATTCCAAAATACACAGAAGATTCAGAAAATTGTCTTTTATAGAGATTTAGCTTTAAGTAAACCCCTCCGAACCATTCCACACTCTATTCCACATAAAGCCCAAAATGTGAGGAACGCAGATTTTGCGTGTAAGTTATTATTATAACATAAAAGCCATAAACTAGGGGAAAATGGTGTGTGTTGCGATAATCGAAAAGAAACGGACGCGAAAGATCCATCCCGGTGGAGCCACGACGAAGGCCAGAGCCAACACCACCAAAGGAGACTACGCGCCATCCAGGGTATTAGGGCGCGTGTCGCCAAAATAATTTGTTCTCTGCAATTGATAAATATTTAAACTGTCTAAAATTACTCACATCGTAAAAGTTTTTCGTTTCTAAATCTGTTCAAGAATTTGGGTAGTTGCGAGTCATGATCATCATGATTCATGGTATAATTGACATCTTTGTTAGGCTTCTTATCGATGTCCTTTTCCTTAATTGACTAAAACCACATTATCATTTTGTTTCGAATTAAAAAATCACGTACTTACTTTGACAAATTGTAGTGGATACATACTAATCGGCACGCCTCGACTTACTGCAATCAAATATGGAGATAGCATTTTTACATTGGACCGTTTTGTGATCTCATACGTCTCATCGAGTACCCAAAACTTTTCCAAATTTTCCTTATCAAAACTCGGACTAATGTGCATATTGACAATTAGTTCCGATTCGCATGATCCGTCTTTTTTATATAAAATTGCATTTATGTAATCTGACGGATGAGAATCTTTAACACACTTAGCAAAAGCATGTTTTAACACAACTGTATATAATGCGTATATAACAATCACAAAGATTTCCCGTTTCATTTTAATTATTTGACTTATTTCTTTTCTTATATATTCTCAAAATATTTTAGTTCGATTTGATTAAAATCTCAACTCATTTAAAATATATGTAATACAACGTATTTCTGTATTTTTGGAAGATATTTGGAGGTTTTGTACATCGGCGCGGACAAAGACTGATTTTATCCCTAGTGGATACAGTAGTGGGATCGGTCGTCGTAAGATTTGTTGATTTTTCAATCCAATCCAATTTTTTCCAATTTCTGTAGCTCCAGATTTAGTCTTTGAAATGTTTTCGCGATGTCCGATATGATGACTTTTTCTTCTAATAACTGCATCTTACAAAAAGCGATGTAATTACTGCACCGTCAAGCGGCCCTCTACACGTGGATCCCAGGCAAAACGCAGCCCATCTCCCGTCCAACCGACCGAGGGGCGCTGCGGCATGACGCGCGGCGCGTAGCCTAATATCTGTTAGACTAATATTTGAGGAAAATTAGCACTAAACTACTAAGAAACTAATAATTTCTTCAAAATACAAATACCACTACAATTACTAATTACTAGAAAGGTGTGGGAGGATTAGTAACTTAATAAGAGGAAGAGAATTAGTGGTGGATATAATATGGTAGAGGGAATTATATTTCGATCATAAGACCCTAAACGGTTTATGCAAGTAAAAATCCGATCTACAAAGTGGAAAGAACAACGGTATAAGTCTATATTATATTATCAACGGTATATTCTAGTGAGTCTAATAGCAATCGTGAAGTTTATGCGGCCCAACAGATCAGTTCTGTCTATGTGATCAAGTTGTGCACAAAAATCACACCAAGCATTTTCCTACGGTTAGCTAAAGATGGGAGGTTTACTAATAGCAGTCTATTAGAGTAAGATGGGAGTCTCACACCCGCATCCCAGTTAAGGCCCCGCAGAGCAAAGAGTAAAAAGTTTTTCTGTACTGATTCTGTACGGTCCTGGTGTACTTTGTAATGAGGGCACCATAAACAGGAGCCGTATTCTTTGTTATATAGGTGTCAACAAATTCCTTTAACCGCTGCTGACCTATGTATGTACATACCTATCGAGGAAATCTACTTGCTACCCGTTCTGTGGTCTAAGCTAGACCCCCCTGACCCGCCTAACAAGCTCATCTGACCAGATTAACCAACAAATCATTACGTTCTTTTCACGAACAGCGATACCAAAAGGGAGAGAAAATGCAATCATCGATAATTACACAAAAAACATATTGCATAGGTTACAAAACTCATAAGATTTTCTCTATATTTTTGGCTATATTAGTTATAAAAGTCAACAAAACAAAATAAAATAGAGTATTTTATATGATTTACTTATCTCTCATAACTAAATTTTTTTTAAGATATTAAGTTATTATTATTTATCCGAAAATCAGTAGTCCAGAATATATATACATACATATATAAAATAGAAAAATAAACATTTATTTAGACAACAAACAATATTTCAATTAAGTGGTACGTCGTATGAAGAATGCTTATTAGAGGACTCATTAACAGATGTCGCAGTACCCATGAAACTATTTTTATTAACAAATGACCTGATATCTAAAAAACTACTGCTGTTTTGGCCCAAAGATTCCTCCTGTATGTCCTTGTACTGATTTTTATGTGCTAACTTCGGCGTGTTTTGGGATCGAAGTTTAGCACTATTCTTTTCGATATAATTGCTATAAGAGTAAGTACTCGTATTCTCTTGTACTGAAGGACTAAAAGGTGCTCCGTTCAATGCTTCTTTAACAAAATGCTGACAATGCTGATTATGGCTTTGTGACGAATAAGGACTTTTATCTAGATTTTCATAATTAAAAAGATTGTTGATTACTTGACTTTCATTATATAAAGACGGTACCGATTGAGATGAAGGAGCTATGGTCGTATTGATGTGTTCTTTGGGGAAAAATGTGTAAGGCTGTTCCAGATGAAATTCCGGTTTCATATTTTGTAGAAGCATCAAATTGACGTTGTTGAATGAGTATGGTTGGTCGATGGAGCCAAAACCATTTAGCTTTGTGGAATGGCTTGCAATAGTATAGAGCCCAAATTTATCATCGGTCTTTTGTGGTAATTCCGATATTCCGTGATTATACTGATATTGTCGGTTGTCTGTATTTATTTCTTTATGTGTTTTATCGCGAATAGCTTGTACGAATTCATTTGGAATATTGATGGTCAGTGTCTCATGATTATGATCGGCACATATATGATTTTTGCGGTTTACAATTCTCCCCATTGATTGCGGTGGAAAAAGTGAATAGAACTCGGGATATTTTTCTTCAGAACTGTCAGCAGGACGAAATTGATTATCTTTCAGTGCATCTCCTCGTAGCGCTCCAACAATAATAATATAACCAGAAATTAACACTGTTATGCCTAACATTTTTAAAATAATGTTAAATATGTATGTTTTTTGTTTTGTTGCACGGATCAAACTGACTTTCTTTTATGTGTGCTGAACATTTATACATTTTTTCAACGTTTTGTAAAAAGCTTAGAAACTATTTGTCATTATATCATCGAACTTCTTTTTGCGCGCCGAATTTTATATACCCTTATACGAATAAATCCATACAGTAAAAATGTGAAAGTAAGTACAATTTACAAACAATAACTTTTCTGAGTACATATGCCTGATGTTAATGAAGACTTTGCGAGTTTTGTAATTTACACATTTATGTATGTGTAGTTTCGTTCAGATAATTTTAAATGTAATTAATTACATACAAAAATAACTAGATCTGCTAGAAAGAAGAAAAACAAACGTCTGCTCAGTTTCACAAAACCCTCTTCAAGGGTATATATATTGGAAAGCTCAACCAAAGTAGAAATGGATTTATCTTGATTTTGACAAACGGATTAAGAACAAAAGCCTGAATGAAGTTTGTTGTACATTTAATTTTACTTTTGACAACATATTAGGGTGCACACAAGTAAGTGAACAAGTGGAGTGTGAGTACGCAAGGTATGTACAATGTGAGGCAGTGCGACTCTCTTTGTGGCATAAATTTCTCCCACCTTTTTTTTCGCTCTCTCTCTCTCTCTATTTATTAACACATGTGTGCAAACTTGCAATATCTTAGTATTTCAAATGCAAGGGTTTTTTAAAAGAAATTTACGAGATCAGAAATTAAGTTAAGTTAAGTGTCGCTTCCAAGATTTTGGTTTTACATTTTCAAAATAGAACAAAATTTCACAAGCGCATAAGGCAGGGTTCGGCACGCAATTTTCACATATGTGAAACATATGTTTTAAGTGCTTTTGTGTGCGTAGACAGCCGGCAAAACGGCAATATGGTACCTACCACTGTAATACACGTGTACGGGAGTGGCAGCGCATCAGCATCATTTCTGTGCACATAAGATGGGAACTTTTTCAACTTTTGCCACTTTCTCTGATAAATTTGGGACTACACATTGCACTTAAAGTAGTGTATGAGTTCTGTTAGTGTGTATGTGTGTGTTGTAGCTGGGTTGTATACGGTACATAAACCGTCTACAAGTTGGTCATCGCAACTAGAACTTGAACCAGTTGGACTGCGGAGTGGGTATCCTACGGTGCGCATGGGAGGGTCTGAAGACACGGCGACAGCCTCTGATGTTTGCGATGGGAAAATGAGTGACAGGCAGTTGTGGTACTGTTTCTGATACTGAGTTTTATTGAAAAAATGCATGTCCTTATATATCTAGCTCTTATTGAACGCACAGGTTCCTTCTGAGTGTATTTTTAGATAGGGTGCACTTACTCTGTGCGGGTGTTATACTTCAGTGCATTTACCTAGGTACTTGACAGAAATTAAGTGAATAGTTTATTGATTGATCCCTTTTGGTGGGTTCGAGTTTACAAGTGCTATTGTCTAGTCTTAGTTGCTATATAATTTTCGTGTCGTCATATTCATTCACATGAAGTGACATGGACAATTGTATTTATGAGTATTTGTGTATGAGATTGCACTGTATATTCTGTAATATTAATTAAATATATGTCTGTGACTGAACAAGTCCGTTTGCAAGAAGTTTTTTCAAGCAGGTTTGCTCGATGTATGTATAAAAAAACCATATTGAGACGGGAATGAAAAACAGCAATACCGAGATAGATTTCGATATTTGAACTTGACCCTTCATTGTGAAGAGAAATAATATATATTTCGATCAAAATCACTGGGAGACAAGAACGCTCCAAAAAAAGATTAAAAAGGAAGGTCCAAGGTTGTCATAGGGCTTTAGCGCAGTTAAAAAAAAAAACACTTAAAAAAGAAATATCAGTCGATCAAAAACCTTCTTAAGCAACTCTTTCTTCAACTTTGAATTTGGGAAAGATAATGGTTCTAATATTATTTATATTATTATTATTGACGGTCAGACGAAATTTTGAAATACACTTGTGCCGGTACGATATCACAGGAGTGTGGATGCAAAATTTGGATGTTTTGGATCTTTTAGTCTTGAGGCGCCCACTTTTTAGCGATAGGAAAAGCCGGCCATGAAACGTGTGTGTTGGCGAGAGAGAATGAAATTGAGCTCTTGGTTCTGGCTTTAATAATGATACGACCTAGTTCAGATTCTGAAGACTAGAAGATATAGTAATTTTCCACGATTCTACCTTTATGGTTTTCTTGTAGCGACTCGACTCGGCGATTGATCCTGATTAAAAATATATACACTTTATGGGGTCGAAAACGCTTTCTTCTGGACGTTACACACATCCACTTTCACCACAAATCTAATGTACCCCAATACTCATTTTGAGTATCGGGTATAATAAGAATATTCAGCAAAGACAGATAGACAGCTGGTTTTCTGGTACTTTTGATAGACCTGGGATATTTTAATTTTTAGATAGGACACTATTATTATCACATAGTTTCATTACGAATAGCACAACGTACCACAGAATCTTATAACTACACCCTGATGTTGAGGTTAGGTACCTTTATTATTTGTTATATATTATATATGTACATATATAAGAGCTGGAAGACCCACTACTGCACTGCGCTCTTATAATCTCAATACGCATATGGATTATACTTATGCTAGCCTTAGAGAAAACCGAGGTGCTGACAAAAAATTATAATTCAACGAATTCAAGCACTCAATTTAAATATTTGTATCAAAAAGCTGTAAAACCAGAGAAAGCTGAAACTTACCGACAACAACCTACTTACGGACGGCCGTTTTCAGGAACTAGACTAGAAGATTTTATAATACAAGTAATTTGTTTAATTTATTAACTTATTTGTTTATCTTTTTATGTAAAAAAATACACGTAACAAATAAAAATAAGCCTTGACGTTAATTGCGACACTATAATACCCGGTACTCCGTTAGTTTATATGCAATCTAAATTTTGCGAGCAATTGTTTGGAGAGCGTGCAGAATAGTGATAGTAGTAGTTATTTAATTTGTTTAACCTCTTTGCACCTAAGCTTCCATTACATTTCTCTCGCCCTCTGTTTCTCCCTCTCTTGTTCCACCATCAAACTACCTATACGAGAAAGAACAAGAGAATCATTTTATGATTCGGAGTTTTCCGTGTACTCTTATCCTCAAATCCTCTTATCCTTTTTAAGGAGCGGTAAGGTGTTTGGCAAAATTTCGAAACAAACTTAAATCACTGTGAGTCTGTACACAACATTTTGTTCTCTTGCTCGTATAGTCTATAGAACAAGACGTCAAACGGGACGGAGAATCGGACAGAAATACCTACATATGTATGTATGTGGTCCCGGCTATTGATGCTGATCAATAAGATATATCCACCATGGTGTCGGAAATGCTTCCTTCTGGCCGTTACATACATTTAGACAAAAATTATATTCTTTTTGAGTATTCCCTATTCTCTTTGAGTATCGGGTATAATCATGGGAAAACACGATTTGATTTCTTAAACATGACAACAGATTAATAAAGTGCATCGCCAAATTAATAATCTAAACGTAATCACTATAGTTGATTCTCTAAAATTAATGTTTTTTAACTCTAATCCGATAGTCTATATGGTAACCATATAATATTTAAAGCACATTGCATGTTTTTTGTATATTAATCATAGATCCAGATGGACACTTGAAAACTTCCGTTGCACTTCCACCTTGGGCTACGAGCCAACCCAATCTAGAAAAAAGAAACAATGTTTAATTTTAGCTACAAACTCATAGAAATTTTGGTATATGACTTATTTTGTAGCACGGTAACCCCTTTATTAATAGCTTATATCATAGAAAGCTTTGAGAGACGTCGCTTACATGCAAGAATAGGATAATCAACTTTTGAAAATGTCTGTTTTTATCCGGCTATATCCTCTTCTTGTATAAGGTACTGGAATTTTTTCAGATATTTTTTTTTCTTTACTTTTGTAATGGCTTTTCATATTGCTAAATTGCTATTCTGATTGCACATTTGTCTTCCAATAAGTAAGGTTTGTGTTTGAACTCTTCCCTAACGCCTCGACCGATTTATACGTAGGTCGCAAATATAAGATGTAAGTATGCTTTTATCTATCTTACAAAGGCTTACAAAGAACACCTCCGCCGCCGAGGAAACTAACATTGAACGCCAAGGGGCTTGTGAGAGAGAGAGAGATAGAATATCAGTCAGAACGCGGAGGGCGCTGCACAACCACTGCAAAGTGATTTGATCCTTTGGTTATAATGCATAAATATGTACATTATATAATTGTTTTTCCGAACAAAAATACTAAATCCCAGGGTATTCGGCTCTAGCGTTCTGAGATCCAAAACATCGTTGCTCTAGCTCTTATAGTCTTTGAGCACTAGGCGCTAATAGGGACGGACGGACCGACAGACGGACAGACAGACAGGGCTCAATCGACTCGGCTATTGATGCTGATCAAGAATATATATACTTTATGGGGTCGGAAACGATTCCTTCTGGACGTTACACACATCCACTTTTAGCCCAAAAATAATATACCCCAATACTCATTTTGAGTATCGGGTATAAAAGAAAACCCAAGAATATTGTTTTCGATTTTTCTTGAGATTGTAGTTGAAAATTTAAAAAAACAAATACCACTAAAACTGATTAATTTTCAATTTCAAAGCTTAAAATTTTCGAGACGGTAAGCTGCAGCTACAAAGTGCTTGGGTGTGACTTATAGCTACATTTATCGCTTCCCAGAATTTCAAAGTTCAATAGAGATAGATGTAAGATGTAAGTTATGCGAAAAAAAGAAACACAAATTTTGAAAGAAACATTAAAAAATTACCAGTTTTCAAAAATTAGCTAATACAGCGGATATAGACTATATAGACATATGTTAAACTTACATATTATCGAACTCTGGAGCGCTTATATCGATTCCCAAGTAATTCGATTCAGCACATAGTTCCTGACCGGAGACTAGAAAGAATATTTGTGTTGGTGTTAAGCTTAGACCAGGTAGTCGCGCCATTCCTTTAATAGGACCAGTCAATGAAAGCATTGAGTGGTATGATATCTGCATTCCTCCTGAATGTATCAGAATGTCCATTCGACTATAGTTTGAAAATATATTTACAGAATGTGGAACGCAACGCATTGCCTTTTCGTCAAATGATTTCGTTATAGACCGCAAAATTTCTTTGGCTATGGAAACGCCAACAGAAGCATAATGTAGGTAGGGCGGCAACGCTGCATTAAAATACGGTATGAGTATGACTGAAAGTGGAACCACTGCAAAAATGTACGAAAATATTATAGGTATCAAAATGTATATATGTATATTTAAATATACATACCGATTGAATGACTAAGTGTATCGTAAAATGTAGTTGATACAATAGGATATGCCCATCTGTAAGAAATCGAAATCAAAATTTGTTGCATATACTTTTAACAGCACGTTGAACCTACGCTTCATGTGAGCCTTCACGCATATTAATTTCGTTGGGAACTAATTTGTTTTTTTTATAAATCTCTAAAATATTTTGAAACCAACATTCGGCATTTATATTCAAGCTTTCTAGGGACTTTACTAAGTCGGTTACATTTGAAAATCCTTCCCACGTCTGTGATTGTATTTTCAACGCGGATAGCTTTACAAGAGCAGCTCCTTTTAATGAAGGAGCTCTTTTCAAATGAGCTTTCAATGATTTAAATATTAATTCCGCCTGAAAATATGTTTATGAAAATTAAATTCAGTGTTTGTCTGTTCGTACATATGTACCATCATAATTACCCGTTTTGTAATGTCCTTTAAGTCGTTGGATGCATGTTGTGCAATGTATAAAGCTGAGGCTAATTCAGGCAACGCCCACATTGTGGACCGAGTACACACTTCAGGACTTGGATAATCCCTTGGCAATATTTCTAGAGCACTTAGCAAAAGCAATGAATTATGTGCAACTCTAGTCGGATATTTTGTGAGAAAATGTTTCAAAGCTTTGAGATAATCACCATTTCTGACAATTATGGGACCACTCCAGTTTTTTGGGATTAATAGTGTCCAATTAAGCTAAAAAGTCATAGAAAGTAGTTTTTACGAAAAAGTATATTAAAATAGTATCCAATACGTTCAAGAACTTTATTGATAGTATGTACATATATTGTATATTTTTATATTGTAATTTAATTTTTAAAAATTTCTAATATGTATATTCTGTTCGGCTAAGCGCCCGCCCATGGCAGAACAAGTAGCAGTAGAGAGAACAGATATGTATCTAAGCGTACCGCAACTTGTTACTGTTGTCATTTGGTTCCCCCCCTACGCTCTTAATTGGTGTATCGCTTTTTCTCGACTGTTATAATTCTCGCATCTAATCAGCCAGGCTCCGTTTTTCACATTCACAAAAGTTTTTCGATTTACTTTTGAAATCACATAAATTGGGGATCCCTTTTTAGTCCAGACTGATTGACAACACTAAAAACGTACTATGATTTGTAGCCCTTTTTCTACAAATTTTGCATATCCGCTAGTTTTAAGGTGCAAACCTATTAACTATTAAAATAAAACTATGAAAAAAATACATATCTATTATACTTACAACTGGGTACATGTCCTGTAGAATCGATATATTATACAGTACAGAACTATCCCAAAATCCCCGACGTGAATATTCGACTTGAAGCTAGAATAAAATTTAGAGGAAAAAATAATAATAAGATCACAAATACATAAGTGTAATGTATTTTGTTTCTTACTATAAACAACCGATGTACGAAACACACGTGTTCAATAAACATCTCAATAAATCTAATGTATAAATTTCTAGTGTGACAAATTTTGTAGCTTAACTTCTCCGAAATGGCTCGACTGATTTTCGTGATTGGCATCGGCCAACATCTATTTTTCATCACGATCAGACCACTCCTTCGGGTACCTCCCAATCACCTACGTCCTTTTTATTTTTGGGATGTACCCGAGGGAGAGGTCTGATCGGGTCAAGATTTGGTATGCATAATTATTTTACACGCCCTTCCCTTATGTTTTGACAAAGTTTGATTCAGATTGATTACTTTTAAGGAAGTGATAGGGCTGTATTTAGAATTTTAAAAAACCGTGTGTACTAACACATGCAAAGATGTTCTCTCTGCACTCTCTCATGATGACGCGTCATCTGGGGTTCTCAGACAGGTAACCCAGCGTGTGACGTTTCGTAGTGAACTTACTCTATCGCTGTCAAATCCGCACACCTTTCCCTCTTATTCTATATATCACATATATCTATATTAACCAATTCGTGCGTTATTATTGTATTTCGATCGAATGCTGAAAAAGCTCAGTAGCTCAATAGCATATCTAACAAAATTTTGAAATCGGAAGCGTCTAACTGCAGGTGTATACAACTTCCTCGCTTATATTTAATGAGTAATTAAACACCTCGAATAAATTGGGTGTACAATTTTGTTTAGATAGCTAAAATACTTTTCTGTAAAACTTACCTTGTTAAGATCCTTGACAAATTCAAAAATTGTATCTTTTTCTGATATTCTTTGATCATATGATACAAAAAATGGTAGAAAATTGTCAACCAAATCTGATAAAAGCTTAGGGAGTCCTTGTCGTATACGGCTTGGGGGTGCTTTTGGGCTGATCCAACGTATTTTGTGCTACAAATATAGTTTATTAGTTAAAAACAATAAATAAATTTAACCGTCGCAACGTGTTCGGTTTCATTGTGGTCGGCTAAGTAAATTTTGTTTATCCAAAAAGAGTTTATAAACTATACTTTAAACGATACCTAATTAATAAACAAAAATAATAAAATATGAAAGCAGAAGAAACATTTTTTTCGACTTTCAGGAGTCAAAGGGAATTTAGAACCGCGGGGAACGATGTGAGTTGCTTCTGCGACCGCAACTCTACATTTATAACCGATGGCTATATTGAGCGACAAAGAGTGCGTGCGGGAGAGGCAGAAAACGTGTTTGAAAGTGTTGTCCGGCGCTGCGTAGCCACAGCAAATTAATTTGGAACATGCAAGCAGCAGCAACTTTATTACGGCAGGAATTTTCTGTGCTGTCAGCATCCCGATCGATAAAAATAAGTCGCACGAGCGATTGCAATTCTGAACAAAGAATTTATGTACCAAATGTCAGATCACGAACGAAAATAAGCAAATAGCAAACAGCTGATGCAATAATCGAAGCAATCGTGTGACTTGCGCTGTATAGAACATTTGTAGGCTCAACAGCACATTCGTGCGCTTTACAGCACCTTGTTATTCTATTTCGTTCCGGTTATAAATCGGACTTTGAGAAACCGGAAGCAAGGATATCTGGTTGTCAACTTTATCCTAACCAAAAACTAACAGCACCTTAACCCGAAGTCGAGAAACCGGCCCTAAGAATATTGTATTACATTATTTTAACTAAATAATTCTGGACGGGTGGATAGACGAACAAGGGTATATCGACTCGGCTATTGATGCTATTCAATAATATATACACTTTACATAGATTTAATGTACATATAAATTATATAAATAACTGCTATTAAAATCAGATATGTGATTCCATATATCTGGTCAAAATCATAATACTCTCTTGTTAGGCATTCTATATAATATATAAATATAAAGCAACCTATTGTTGTGTGCATACTTGTTAATTCTAAATAAGCTTAACATAAACGTACGCACCTCTAAGATAGTTGACGATGTGCTTGGACCACTTATTATAAGAAGAATGTGAGGTCTTCTTCCATAGCTTAGATCATAATACAAATCAACTAATGGGCTTGGGCCGAGTTCATAAATTTTAGCTATCAAGGGTGCAATACTTGAAGGTCCAGTAGAGCCAACTGGTAGATATCCGCCCAAACTATCAAATATGCGGTGCATTTCAGTTGAGTTAGTGGTCTGTTGTAAACAGCTTTCATATAAATGATGTAATATTTTGAATCTTTCGTCCATAGCTTTATTCTGGAAAAAGGCTGTAGCAAAAAGATTAACAAAAATGTATTTTGTTTTGGAAATTATTCTTACACAGCATTTGAGTATCAACACTTTTTTGAGAGTTTCCCATTTCAATTAGGTTTGTTATATTTTTGTTTCGGGAATTCCGCCAACAACTAAACTTCTTGAATTCTGTGCATGGGTCCTTGTTCCAATTTAGTCTGGCTTGAATACTGGAAGCTACTGATTCACAAATTACATCCATGCATTCGGGTGGTGAAGAGATGGGTGATGAGCAACGGTCGCCTTCCATATAGCAATCTCGAGGTAAGGGAGACGGTGCCGTACTAATCAAAAATAGTATGGGTGACGCTACAAGCAAAGTAGTCACCAATAAGGTTGCAGATGTTATGGCCATTTTATGAACAGCCGCAGAAGTTCGAAACCATATACATGGAGCACAACAAATCCATCCAATAATGCTGTTCTAAAATAAAATAAAATGTATTTCAATTTAAAAACATTTGAAAGCTATTTCAGAATCTTTATAATATGGACCAGTTCTCATGTTCAGCATTTATAATATTATATTTAATTAAATACATTCACGTCCATCTATGCATCGTTTCGTAAAATGTATCATAATCGGAAATATCATAGTGAGTACTAGTCATCGTTCATAAAAATTATTGTTCGATAAGTAAGGGCTTTTGAAGCTTAACTAAGCTGATTGATATAATTTTGAAATTCTGGGAAGTGAGTGTGAGTGCCTTCTCCTGAAAGAGAATATTTTGTTAAACTAAAGAAAATAATCTTTCACTGGCTCCTGAGTTGCAAGAATATAAACACATCCGCGCTCCAATTCAATTAAATTAAATTAAGTAAATTGTTTAATGTACCTTGTTATATCCTGCATTAAAGTTTTCGATGTTGGAGCTATCAACTATTTCAATTTCATCGGACTTGCCGATTTGTTTCGAACCAACTGGTGTTTTAAATGATAACTGTTTTTGCAGTAAAGATGCGCTACTTCCACCGGATGGATTTGCCGTCGTAATAAGATTTCGACCGTGAGTACTCCCCAAGCTGGCAACACCATTCTTTCGAAATACATTACGTGCGCTAGAATCAGCTGTCATGGTTTAGATTGCTGCTATTTTATTTCCTCCTATTTGTATAGCTTTTGCAATGTTTTTCAAGTTTGACGCTGCAAGACATTCGCAAATATATGTATCATTTCATATTGAGCGTGAAATAATCAATACTGGTCAATTACTTACCACGCATTGGGTTCCTGAATGTTACATATATACAAACATGTTGACTACACTTCCCCTAATAGTTCATATTAGCATATGTATAGGAACAAGATTATTTACGAAATTTTTAACTATTTACAATTTATCTAGAAAATTTGTTTTGTTTTATGTCGATCAAAGGTAACAAGCACTGACAACAAATGTGTATATTCCTAAAAGCTTTTACGAATAGCTTTACGGGATGTAAAAAGCTTAGTTAAATATGACCATTTTACATGGCTGTGTTAATATGTACATATAGAAGTATTTACATTTCAACAAAAACCAATTTTAACAAAATGAAAAGAAAAATATATAACAAAATACAAGAATATATAAAAGTCGTATACATACATATGTATATGTATTTTAAAAATATTGCTTCATTTTCAAATCGAAAAGTCGAAAATAACGCAGAACTTCTTAAGTAGCCAACAACATTTTATTTAAACTTTCAATAAATTATATATTATTTAAATTACTATTTTCATTTAGTTGATTTAACTATTTTTTCTTCTGTACCGTACTACATATGTAGGTATTTCCCCTCCGTCACCTGGCGTCACTCTGGACCAGAGAGACAGCGACAGGAGTCTACCAAATTCTATAATCTAGTAGAAGAAATAATTGTTTTGTACTGCTAAGTCTTGTGTTTTCTCGTATCTTCAAAATTGTGGATGATATAAAGATTTTTAATTTGAGGGGGTGCCTGGTGGCGCGTTCTTCAAAATCCACTTGCAAAAATCTAATTTCGTGCTGTTGAATTTGGGAAAACTTTTATTACACTTTAAATACAAATTTACAAAACAAAAATTTTTTAATTTACAATAGATTTTGAATATATACTATAATCCCGATACCACAGGACGAGATCTCAGAAACCCCGACGACGGACTACCAACTGGAGCCATTAACCGACGCCGAGATAGCTCGGGAACGCAACCCGTTTCGCCCAGCCGACGCGGATGACTACGAGAACGCGATCCTGGCCGCCATTACCGCCCTGGAACTGGAGGACCTATCGCCGTGGCAGCAAGACCCAGACCCCGAACCACCCCCCACGCCGTGGGCAGGCAAGTTTCTGGAAGAAGAATTGGCGAAATTCGACGGACTAGCTGGAGTCTCCCCCATCGCCGAACACACGATAACAATGCCAGACAACAGGCCCGTGAAGCAGCGCTATTTCCCGAAGAACCCGGCCATGCAGAAGATCATCAACGCACAGGTGGACGAGCTGCTCCGGGACGGAAGGATCGAACAATCCCGAAGTCCCCACAGTGCACCAATTGTTTTGGTAGGAAAGAAGACCGGAGAAATGCGAATGTGCGTGGATTATCGCCAGCTAAATGCCCGCTCGGTGCCTGACGCGTATCCGCTGCCACGTATTAACCACATTCTCGAGAGACTACGCCACGCTCGCTACATCTCCACGCTGGACCTCAAAAACGGATACTGGCAGATCCCGGTTGCCAAGGGCAGCAGAGAGGCAACAGCATTTACCGTCCCTGGCAGGGGACTCTTCCAGTGGAAGGTCATGCCTTTCGGCCTGCACTCAGCTTCAGCGACGTTCCAGCGAGCCTTGGACAGCGTCATCGGACCCACCACGGAGCCGAACGCATTCGCGTATCTCGACGACATCATCGTCATCGGAGCCACGCTAGAAGAACACATCGAACACCTTCGCGAGGTTTTCAGGAGGCTGCGAGAGGCGAACCTGCGACTTAACCGATTCAAGTGTAGTTTCTTCAGGAAGAGTTTAGTCTACCTCGGCCATGTCATCAGCGAACAAGGCATCCACACGGACCCAGACAAGGTCAGCGCAGTCCAGAAACTAGCACCGCCCACCACACTGTAAGAACTGCGACGCTGCATCGGGATGGCATCCTGGTACCGACGTTTCGTCCCCAACTTCGCCACGGTGGTCCAGCCCATGACCAACCTGCTCAAAAAGGATCAAAAGTGGGAGTGGACAGACGAACAACATTAGGCATTCGAGACTCTCAAGGAAAGACTCACGCAAGCACCAGTCCTGGCATGCCCCGACTTCGACGAGCGATTCGTACTCCAAACGGACGCCAGTTCGTATGGCCTCGGAGCAGTGTTGACACAACAGATCGACGGAGCAGAAAGAGTCATCGCCTACGCAAGCCGTCGACTACTCAAGGCAGAGGAAAACTACTCGGCCACCGAGAAAGACTGCCTTGCCATAGTCTGGGCAATCCGGAAGCTCCGATACTTCCTGGAAGGATACCACTTCGATGTAATCACGGATCACCTCGCCTTGAAGTGGTTGAACTCCATCGATAATCCAACGGGACGCATCGCCCGCTGGGCCTTGGAGCTCCAGCAATATCGGTTTGACATCCATTCATCATCGAGAGCGACCAAACATACAAACGAGCCAGCAGCAGAACCAGCAAAGAAGACCTTATCAAATGAAAACTATGTGACAACGTATGCGACAACGGGACCCAATTCACAAGTCGCTCTTTCCGAAAGTTTTGCAAACTAGCAGGCATGGAATTGGAGTATACGGCGCCCTATACCCCACAACAAAACCCAACGGAACGAGCCAACAGGACGATCAAAACCATGATCGCCCAGTACATCGATGGAGACCAGCGGACATGGGACGAGCTGCTGCCCGAACTCAGCCTAGCCATCAACAGCAGCACATCGGACACCACAGGCTTCAGCCCAGCATTCATCGTACTCGGCCGGGAACCTCGGTTGCCTGGAGCCTTGTACGAAGAGGCGTCCCCAGGACTAGGCGAAGTGACAGAGATCCCAACCGACAAGGCCAGGCGACTCAAGGAAATCTTCGCCATCGTACAGAAAAATACCCAGCAGGAATCACAGACGCAGAGCAGGACCTACAACCTACGTCGACGCGAATGGAAACCCACGATCGGGACGCTCGTGATGCTACGCCAACATCACCTGTCCAAAGCGGCGGACAACTTCGCTGCCAAGCTGGCTCCCAAATATGAGGGTCCAAAGTACAAAGTACAAAGTATTTAAATTTATTTCCCCCACCATAGCACGACTCCAGAAGCATCCGGGAAGACAACGACGAACGGCCGGACTAGCCGACCTCAAGCCGACCACCAGCGACGACAACGAGCCCACCCTCACCAGCGAAGACGAAGAAGACAACGAAGGCAACGATGATGACGACCCCAGCACCAGGAAAACCGCGAGTTCATGAGGGCCACTTATGGTAGTGCGCTGCCATAATGTCCTCGCCCCAGAAGGGGCAACCGCGTACACACGCAGTAAGATAGCTTAAGGGATTATAGTAAGAAATAACCAGAAACTAGAAAACGCACCGATCAGGGAAACCCAGGGCCCAGGGCACACCAGTGGCACAGGTCAGGTTCTAACCAAACAAGGTTTCTTCCCCCCACCAGATCCGACATGGACAACCCAAGGACGAGCGACGCACAGCCTCTAGAGGCAGAGGATGGTACGGAGGGGCATCGTAGGGGTGCGTCGCTGCCCAGCTCAAGGCAACCACGGTCCACGACCAGCCAAACACAAACAAGACACCACTCCCCGACCCCGCAAGCAGAACCGGGCAACACCACGCAGCATGGCACATCAACTGGAGCGATACCACGACCACCCAGGCCATTCCGACGTCGGGCCCGCCGCGAAGGCCCACCGTCGCCCCGTCGGGCGACAACCATGACCTGGGCATGGCTCAACGACATCGTCCATTCGAGCACGTCGGGAAACAACCCGTCTGGGATCATCACAGTGGAGGCGATGCGATCATCGGACTCAGACGAGGAGGTCCGAGCAGGCTGGGCCCAGCAGGAGCCCCCCAGACGCCCACGCCACCGCAAGCATCCAGGCCAAGGAACACGCACCGCCGTCACCCCACGCGCGACTCCAAGACGCGTCGAGCCAGGACACGTCAACCTGGACCCCAACTCCGAGGGGCAGAACAGCTCCCCAGTCGCGCACAAACTGCGGCTGCGGTCCCCAACACCACCGCCCTATTACCTGTACCGCATGGGAAACCCGCAGACCCCACGGCCGAGCTACGACAGCAGCTCGGACGAGGGGTTCACCAGCCCGACGATGGAGGCCGACAAGCACTGGGAGCCGACCCACCTGGCAAGCACCGACGAAGAGGTCTTGCACGACCGACGTTTCGGAAAAGCAGGTGGCCGCCCATGGGTCAAGCACTCCGTCCTGGTCCTAAACCGCCAACTGGAGGCCGAGCGGGCCACGACGGGCCCATACTCGGACGTGAGCGAGGACGAAGATGGGCCGGCCGATTGCCAGAAGATCGCTCCAGCCAACATCGCGGTTGACGTGGCACCCTGGACCACCTGGAAGGACGCCGACAAGACCCTGCAACGGCTGCTTGCCCATCCACGACCCCTCATCCCACCCAGGCCCGAGAGGGAGATCATCCCTGCGTCGGACAACGACACAGCAAGCGGTGACGAGGTACAGCGACAGCAGTCTGGGCGAAGCGCTGCCCCGACGGCTCCGGAACCTCGCCCTTCAGGGTGAAGACGAGCCACCGAGGCGCGTAACCGGCAATGAGCTGCCCCAACTGGGTAACTGATTCTGGCTAAAATAATTATATAATCTGGTTCAGAATTTGCACTCTAGAAGATATAGTCATCTTCTACGATTCTGCGTTTTTAGTTTTTTTGCCCTTTGTGGGGGCGGAAGTGGGCGGGGCACAGTTTTGAAATATTCTTGTAGCAGTGACATATCACAGAAGTCTGGATCCAAAACATCGTTGCTCTAGCTCTTATAGTCTTTGAGCACTAGGCTCTGAAGGGGACAGACAGACAGACATGGCTCAATCGATTCGGCTATTGATGCTGATCAAGAATATATATACTTTATGGGGTCGGAAACGATTCCTTCTGGACGTTACACACATCCACTTTTACCACAAATCTAATATACCCCAATACTCATTTTGAGTATCGGGTATAAAAACTGTTACAATTATATTAATGTTTTGCTGCATTCACATAAAATAAAAGGAGAATATAGACATAGAATGTAAGTCCGTATTAGCGCATTAAATTGTTATGATATGCGGTGGGCACGAAATTTCAATTTGAAAGTAGTCCAGCAGCAAAACAAACAACAAAAATAGCAACCAAAATTAACCCTTATTTGCGTCCATACACTGACTTGTTGACATCACATATAAAATTGCTTATTAAATGCATGATTTTTTATCAATGCTCGATGATAATATCGTCCACTATGTCATCGGGAGTAGTGTGGCGGTCATCGACGTGTCAGAAGGTGAGGAATCGAAGGCCCGTACTGCAGGGAACAGAAAACAGAAATCGAAAAAAACAGCATAAAATTTCTTAGAACGAAAAAAAGTATAGAATCTCATATTTTTGTGCGAACTTATTGTGTGTGTTATTCTACCACATGCAAACACTGGCTTTTGATGACGCGACGATAGCCGAACGCAAGAGCCAAAGACTGCGTTCTGTGTTCGCCGTGCGACACGCTCGTTGTATGAACTGGCACATCTATATACTGTATGGCTAGTGGTAATATGGTACATATAGTAATTCTCTGTAATTCTGCATTTTTAAACTTCAGACAGTGCATGGATGATGGTAATAAACTTGTCAATATGTTAAAAGAGAAAACTATAAACTCATTCAGGCGTCTGTGGACTTTAGGGAGCGAGTGGAAAATTGCAATGAACTTGACAGCTGCAAATAAAACATTACGCAGGTATTATTAATGTATCTTTAATATAATTAAAGAGAAAAAATCCCTTCCTATCGAGAATTAGTTGGTGCGTTTCGCATTTATTTTTGAACTTTTGATTTCATTTATCTTTGGCGTACAAAGTATGGCTTAAGCAAAGAGGTAAATATGATTATATATCTTTGTGGATTGTTTTTAATTTAATTTAAAAGTTTTCTTAGTTTAATCATTTGGATCCTTAAATAATTTTGACTGGATTAGAACCATTGATTAGTATATTAAACAGAAACTTATTCAAAATCGCCTTGAACTCTTGGGTCTTATAGATGCATCTTGTACATTTTCATAATCTTTATCATTGTTTTTGAAATATCCATCATATTTGCTAACTTCTCTAGCTACACCAGAAGATGATACCATCGATGGAAGAGCTCTCAAAAACCCATGCAAGCCGGACGGAATCGGTGGCGTAGGTGGCACTGATAATCCACAGCGATTATACAGAAAGGGCATAATTCCAGTAACATTAGTATGAAGAGTGAGGACTGCTTCTAAATCGGACTCTTGAGCGTGCGTCAAAAATTGTTGATAAGCACTAGATGGTATCATTCCAAAATGATCAAATGAGTCCACATATGCTTCTGTGTCTCTTTTATAATTTTCCAGAAAATCTCCAAGGAGCTTTGCTACCATTGCTGAACGGGCTTTACTTATAACTTTTATGCTTTGAGTATTTCGAAATAATACTGGCGGTTTAACGGATCCTCCAAATTTGTTTAAAAACTTTAGTATAATTTTTTCATGATTGTCTCTGGGATCTTGTGTTATTCGTTTTAAAACAGATTCCAGGTACAAGCTGAAAGTTTGCCGCGCTTGAAACTGAGTTAGTTCAGAGCCAGTTCCAATTTTTTTAAGCATCAGTTTTCGTTGCCTTCTACCTTCTTCTTCGGATTTTTCCACTGCAGGCTTCTTTGCAAATGGAATTTCAGATCCAGTCTCCAAAGCTCGTTCGTATTGTTTAATACGATTTTTTTCTAAACTATCATCTATAGTATAACTCGTATCCTGGCAGTATAAATTTGAGTGAAGCATTTGGTTATAGTTATGCTGCATAATTAATGTTTGGAATGTCTGGCCTTGTACGTTTGGGGTAGAGATCGGAATACCATTTGTAGAATCTAAAAAGTTACCATACCGCTGCATTGAGTCAGCTGTAGGAAATATGCGTTCAAATCCTCCTCGACGGGAATATTGTAAACGAGCATTTCGTAATATGCGCTGTTCTTCACCAGTCAGATGATCAGTGCTGACGGACCCTTTTTTCTTATTCTTTTTGATTTTATATGAGACACTTGTAACATTAATACTCCTTTGACAACTAGAACTGCGGAATCGCGACCATTTGCTATCGTAATGTGATCTCACTTCTGGACTATATGCTGGTATACCAACGCAAGTCAATAAATCAGCAATTAGGCATGCCTTTACTTTAGTATCTAAGGGACTATCTACTCCCATAGATGGCGAAAGATTCACTTCTAGTAACCAAGGCTTAAGTGAATTGTCGATTAGAATATCAAATCCATATAATTCAAAACAGTTATTTCCATTTGGAACGAACATTCTACATGCGGAAATAATGGTTTGAGCACAGGCCAGAATAGCTTTTATTATTAAATCTTCTATATTCAGCATTAACTGATGAGTATCACAGCCCTGAATTTTCAGGTGCCTTAAGAGAGCCGATAATGTCCATTTATGGCCCACATCCTCATCTTGGGCATCTGAGGATCTGATGTAGTCGGAATGGTATTTGTTGATGCTGTAATTGCAAAGATGCATACACGGGTTCCATAGATTATCAGCATTTCTATCGTATCTGACTGTGGCTAATCTTACTATTCCCTCTTTGTAAAGGTAAATAATAAGAGGATCAAAAGATGTAACTAATACATATACTCGTAAATCACACTTGTGTCCATCAATACAAAGCGGGTCAATAATATACTTTGATACAAGAACTTGTTCATCCTGAGGAATTTGATCTGGCTGAAAAAATAAAACAAATAGAAACAGTATAAGAGTGTGTTGTAAATATTGATCTAATATATTAATTTTACCGAATTTACAATGAATATTCCTCTTCCTCTACTTGATGCTGCTGGTTTTACTATCCATGGGCCACGATGTTTGTTATGTGCTATTATTAGGTCTCGTGATTCCAAGGGAAGAATAAACGATTGGGGTACAATGTCAAAATGTTTCATTCCACGAAGATGTTGCATACGCTCGATATTTTTATAGAGTCTATCTTTTCGGGTTAACTCGTAGGACCTAAGTAAAAAAAAAATCATACTGTTTTCAATTATTCTATAATTAGTTGCTCCATTTTTAGAATTACCTAGGAAAATGATTGACTCTTTGATACGGTGCTAAATTTCTCAGTATATCCAATTTCATATGAACCCCAGTCCATAGTAAATTAAAATTTTTATCACCCTCAACTTCTCTAAGGCCATGCACATCAAATATCTTTCTGAGCAATTTTGTTTCAGTTTGAATAAACTTATAGGTGATTTTCAGCTTATATGCCGGCATAACAATACCACATTCTTCGTCGTCCTCTGTAACACATTCTTCTTCCTCACTTGCGCTGATGTTCGTTATTGATTTGGCAGGTGTTGTGGAATCGTAGCCACTTTCCTTTGATACATCTTCTACTAAGTTAGTGTTTATGTCATTCGGATTCTTTTTTAGGGTTCGAAATTTATTTTTTATATTTCGTGTAGGTTCTTCTCCTTCGCTGGACATAGACGTATCGCTTGAGGAATACTGCTTATTCATCTTTTTTGCAGTGCTTTGAAAGTCTGAATTTTCAGTTTGATTAATATTGACCGAATTTCTAATTGATACATAGATTTTTCGCTGTTTTGAACCACTCAAGTCTTCGTTACTGCATAGTGGTAGGGATAAAGAACTTATGTCATTTTCACCATTTCGGCACAAAAGAGTTGCCTCCATATTAGATCTGCTCTCTGGCAGTACTGGCGACGAGTAGGTTTCCGATAAATTCTTTCTAGTTTTTGGATTGAGTATGTTTGTTCGAAACACCAGAACGGCTTCCCGTGAACCCATTTTTCCACTTGTAATCCAATCATCATGTTTTGGACTTTCTAAATTGTCTCTACAATAAAAAATAGCATAAAGCGAAAAATGTGTAAATATATATAAAAGTCAATATTGGTCGAAGCTAAGGAACTAAAAACCCCTTGGTAGTCAAAACAATTAGACATCCTTCGCAGAAGCTGCAGGACTCTCTTTAATAGAGCCACAAAAGCTAACGAGGATACTCACTGGGCAGACTATAAAACCAGTCTAGCACTGTACAAAAAATAAACCAGGAAGGCCAAAAGAGCCTCCTGGCAAAAATTTTGCTCCGATATCAAGGAAACGTCGGAGGCCGCAAGACTCCGGAAGGTTCTTTTGGTCTTTTGTATTGTAATATGTATATTTATTTGCAAAATTGGCAAGCGAACATTTTCGTTTTGCTTTTCACGAAAAAAAATTAAAAAAATACATATACATATATCGTTATGAATGAGTGGACTGTATAAATTTTACTAGGTTTTATTTAATATTTTTGATGATTTTATAATATCAGTGATTCATTTTTTCTACTATTTCTATTACTATTTTTCTACTAACTTCCACTCCGCAAAAGAAGTCGAGCCAAAAGGGAATTGAAAGATCATGCGATGCGACGGTCCAATGCAAAACGGTACACATCGATGTATGGATAACAAAACAGCTATGCGCGTAGTTACTTAAGCGGTGCAATACAATAATGAGCATATAAATAGGGCAGTTGTAATATAAATTAACATTGAACTAAAACTACGCGTCTTATTTCTCAACATACCGGCCCCCTGAACGACTGTTCAGAACAAGGGAAACACAGGAACTTTGGTAATAGGTCTCTTGTAAACTCCTCGGTGACCGACACAGGCACCGACATGTGAAGTTAAACTGTAAGAAAATGAGCTGGGGTAAAGGGATCCAAGTTGGGCGAGAGTTGAGTAAACCTTCAATCTAGGCTAAAATTGTTGAATATTCCTCGAAAGTCAACACACTGCTACCAATTACTCGGCGCAGGAGCTTGATAGATCGTACGCCAGTCTCCCAAATACCTCCAAAATGCGGGGCAGACGGCGGAATGAAGGGCCAGTTGCTTTCCTGGCTCGTCAGAAAATTAACAATTTCCTCATCCTGACTTTGAGATACAGCTATCCGTTCCATCTCCGTTAGTTCCTTTCTGGCTCCATGGAATGTTGTGACATTGTCTGAGTACAAATCGGATATAGGGCCAGAACCGTTTGAAAGTGGCGATAAATTCAGGAGTCGTCAAATCACTGACGAGCTTGATATGACAAACAAAAATGGCGAACCAAGCTTTGCCAAACTTCGGTGTCTTACCTGCTGATGTCTTAATGGTAACTGGTCCAGCATAATCCAATTCAGAATATAGAAAGCAGCGGGTGGGCTGAACGCGAAGGGCGGGAAGATCAGCCATGAGATGTGTGCTGGTACCTTTACGCTGGAGGAAACAAATCTTGCATATCCAATACTGCTGTCTTAACGTGTGGAACGTAATTTCGACTAGTGATGCGACGTGCTGGTGTCTAGCTAGTAAAACAGCGACTGGGGATTCCTTTGGAAGAAGTATGGGATGGTTTGCATCATAGGTTGCGATCGAATTGCTAATGCGTCGTCCTACGCACAGAGTTCCTTGGTCGTCAACAGATGGAGTGTAGCGACTTAACTTGGATTTTTGAGAAAGTGCTTGTTTACTCGGAAGAACGCCATCTGGACATGTTTGATTACCCTAGAGCGGGCGTATTGAAGCTCCCATGACGATAAAAACGATGACAAGCGGTCCTTGCAACGAAGTCGATGTACAAAGCGATATCAATAGCTAATTATCCGCAAGAGATGTGACCAGGAGGAAGCTTTGTTGATCATACAATCAAGATCTTTTCCTTCATCGGAATTGCGTAGATCGGCTTAGACATCCATTGCGAACTTGCGGCACGCATAAAGACTGTGTTGCTCGTGACAATATACGCAGTCACGAACAGGCGTATTTGGCACGTCAACATGATAAGAAACTGCACGATTTTATTCAGCACCGTGTGTGTATCATGCATTAGCTTTGGTTGCCCAAGCTTCCTTGCTTTCAGGGTCTAGCTTTCAGAGCAAGATATGGATCAGCCACACATCGCGGATGTCGCAGCTCGGCGCAGCAGGCCACGTATACTTTCGTCGACGGTGTCGACTATTTTACGCAACTCAGCGATGTTTGAACCCTTTGCGGTTGGCAACGAAAGAAAGTTTTGAATAACCGAACAAGCAATCAGTTTTTGTTATAACGATTTTTGAGCCTCTCCCATGCGTCCTGGGAATCGGCATCCGAAATGGGAATATGTTTTATCAGAGACAACGCTTCACCATCCAGATAGGATATCAAATAATGAAACTGTTGACACTTGGGAAGACTACTCTTCTTGTCGACTGAGCCCAAAAACAAGTCACTAAACTGACACCAATCCTCGTATCTGCCCGAAAACATCGGAATGCGTATTTTTTCGAAATGCAGCTCTGTGGTTCCCGATGAGTCCCGAATCTTCTCCAGAAGTTGAGAATACGGATCCACGTATTCATCTTGTTCATTTTATTGGTCCAGCTCTTCAGAGAGCTCCATAAAGCGGTTGAAAGTTGAAACCAGTCGGTCCAACATGTGCTCTAATGTTTGCACAGAAGTACATGGCTGTACAAACTCTTGCGCCTCCGCACCCACGCGAGTTATCTGGGATTTGCAGGCCCCACGTTGCTGAATTAGACGATGCACTAGGGCCTTCATGGCGAACAGCGGTCAACGATATCACTCAATATATAAAATAAAATCAGACGCGTATGATCCGGCTCGAAGGACCAAAATTTGTATGGTTATGAATGAGTGGACTGCATCAATTTAACTAGGTTTTATTTAATATATTTGATGATTATATAATATCGGTGATTAGTTATGTGTGTATTGCACCGCTTAAGTAACTATTTTTACGCGCATAGCCGTGTTGTTATTGCTTGTGTCAAAAACATAGCTGTAACACGCATACATCTATGAGTACCGTTTTGCATTGGACCGTCGCATCGCATGATGTTTCAATTCCCTTTGGCTCGACTTCTTTTGTGGAGTGGAAGTTAGTAGGAAAAAAAATAACCAACCGCCCGCATATCGCTGCACCGCCGCTACATATATATTTCGTAAATTATTGTATTTTTAGATGGTATTTAGATTAATTTACAACTTACGCGGAATTTTTAATCGTTTCACACAGTGAAGAAGGCATAATGAATTCTGAAATATTTAAATACAAATATTTAAAATGTAAAGAGTTTAAGTTCCAAATTGTAATCTGCATATGTCGATAAATTCGGCGAACCGAAGCTATTACAAGATTAAATCCAAAACGGATATACTGGGAACCAAGATGTTGTTTCTTCGCAATCTGACTAATTAAAGACGAAATTGCTTGGAGCTCATTCTTGGATCTTCTTCTTTTTCACTTTCACAAAAATGTTCCAGTTTTATTTTGAAAACACAAAAACTTTTGCTACCGTTTTCACAAAACGGAAGTTTTTTCCGTTTTCTAAATGAAAACATTTTTCCACCGAAATCAAAAAAAAAAAGGAATTTTATACATTTAAACGAATTTTAATCGCAAAAGAAAAATAGATATATTTTGTTAATTTATTAACATACATTTGTATACCATAACAAGGAAAATTTATCTTTTGCTGTCTTTTTAATTATTTTTGTATTTAATCAAACTCAAATTTGGCTTTTAGATAGTTGGTCAGTTCGTTTTGCGTTGGTCATTGCGTTTGTATTGAAATGTATTGAAAACAAGTGTATTTGAAAATTTCGCCCCACCCCTTCTGCCCCACAAAGGACGAAAATCTGTGGCATCCACAGATTTCAGAGACTATTAAGGCTAGAGCCACCAAATTTTGTATACACACTCCTGTTAGACCTCACTATTACAAGTTTATTTCAAAATTTCGCTCCACGCCCTTCGGGTATAAAATTAGAGTTACGGTCGGAGCAGAAACTCACAACGTTCCCCCTCTTTTTTTCAAATTATGGTTATTTTAAATAAGTTATTTTTTAACTGTTTTTCAAAATTTTACGCATAGCTTAAGTATCTTATCCTAGTTGTATTGAACTTTGCATTTTTGATAAAAGCTGATAAATACAGCTTTAAATAAATAAAACACTTTGAGCTTAAGCTTACCGCCTGAAAACTATTAAGCTTTCAAAATCTAAATTGATTAATTTTTCCCAAAATTTTGACTGTCTAAGCTCGGTAAAGTCTAAAAAAAATGATTTCTTGTTCTTTCAAATCGGTGGCTTTGTCACCAGTTTATCTAAGTTTATCTAAGCCCCTGAGTGTAAAATTTTACCGGTAAATTTTTCTTTTTTGTATTAAAAAACGAGGGGGAACGTTGTGACCGCAACTACATTTATACCCGATACATAGTCAGTATGGCTACTGTCGAGTCAAGCAGCTTAAATATTGGTAATTATTGCCACTCGTGCGGCCCAAAGGAAATGCATTTTGTTGTTGTCATTTCCAATGCCCCCATTGTAAAGATCATTTGCTACCGCATATGCACTCTAAGCGGAATTCTTTCGTCTCTTTATATCGCAATCTCCCGTACTCGGCTTAACCAAAAACATAACAATTCTCCAATAATCCACAGTTTGAATTCGGCTTACCGGGAAAAGCGGGCTATGCATCGAGTGATCAAAAGTCGTGGATCTACCTGTTTGGACGTTGATATTGTAAGTCAATCACCTATTTTCTTAGTACCTAAAATCTATCCCATAGTACCCTTAACCGATCAAATACTACGATAACCTTCCTTAGTCTTGTGTCCCATCCGCTGTTATCGATGTTGAAAAGCGATAACAGCGAGGTAGGGTGCTCTCTATCGGTGATGAACGATCGATCGAGATGCATCAACGTGCAATAATAGGCTCTGCACACTGAGCACATTCCGGGGGAACAGTGGGATTTCTTGACAGATGCGAAACTCCGATTCACACTGCACCGTCCACCATTTACACTCCGTCAAAAAGCTGCTGATGAGCATAAAATTACAGTTGCTGTCTAAATTGTGAAATTTTCACAATTGTATATTAGTATTGGTTATATTGGCTATAATAAAAAAATCGATATATGTAAAATAAACATTACTCTTTGGGCTCCCTTAATTACAGAAGCTCTGTATGGAAGTTGGTTTAGCCTTGGCTGGTCGCAATTTACTGGAGTATCTCTCACTTTGTTTCCTGGTGTTCATCCCGTAGTTTCTGCTGCTCCTTCTGGACTTCAAGCATTTTCTGAACAATCTCCAGTAGCTTTTCCAGGTTAATCCACTTTGGTGCGGCGGCTTGGTTTTAGAAACATTACTTGAGCCGCAGTTTGATCTGTCCCGGTCGACATTAACGGAATTATTTCGGGACCCTCAGCATGGATGATTGGCATATGTCCGATGCGTGCAGAATATTCTATAACATCAAATGGCAAAGAGAGAGGCTAAGGCGTATCGAAACCCTAACCAGACCATTGTCATTCGTTTCTCTACAACCGTAAAGAGAGTTCTACCAAACCCACGAAAGTGCACATCTTAAGACGAGAGCACTACAGGAAGCGGCACAGAACGTCACCAAGGAAGCATCAGGAAGCAATCAGGGGAAACTCTTTAACAAAAGCTAAAGTGTTGAACACACAGGAAAGCTGGGATGCATATCTTCAAAGCTTCAATGCCTACAAGAACACACCACAGAGTCCCGTTCTTCAGCCAGTACAGTACTTTCTCAAGAATTCCTTGAGCTACTCATGGACACTCGCTCGACACTCGAGATACGAAAGGAAGGCCCCAATAATAACAGCTTATGCGGATGACAGGAATACTTATTACAGGTCCATCAACCCTCAGCTCCTTAATGGAACGGGCATGGAAACCCAATTTATTGGAAAGGGTGAAGAAGGCCCCCGTTGCGCTGAACGCGTCCAAGAAGATGCACAGCAGTACATGGGGCCTGTCTCCGGCTCTGATGCAATGGATTTACATCTCGGTAGTGCGACCAACTCGGACATTGTTCAATCGGCAGGGAAATGACCAGATCAACTGATTACATGACGCCCCAAACTTGTCTCGACGTCATAACAACCTCATCTTTGGGACCTGAAGACTGGAAAATTGGAAGGGACCAAACTCGACGGAGGTCTTTACTGTACAGACCCTGAGATAAGGCTGTCATATAAGCTACCGGACCAATGCCGCATATTCCAGGCAGAGGTTTTTGCCATCAGGAAAGCAGCAGAGGTCGCTCTTCTCACAGAACGAGCACACGATGCGGTCAACCTAGATCCATGCAGTCGTCCGCGGTCAGTTCCACAATTGTCTTGGCGAGCAGGGAGGCACTACACACCCTTAGCACGACAAAGTCAAAGCGATCAAGAAAACCAGGCCAGATCACAAACCGAAAGTAGGAGGAGGAGTACCACCACCTGCAGAACCTCGAAAATCATGTGCAAAGAACGCAATGAGAAAATCAGCCACTACCTGCTGCACATACCACAGAAGGACTGCAGATTGTTGGTGGGAATATTAACAGGTCATTGTCTTGCTGCGGCACATGCAACAAAGCTAGGCACCAACAGAGACAGTTGCAGGAAATGTGATGAACCTGGGGCAACCGAAACCCTGTAACATGTCATCTGCTCAATGACGACCCTAGGGCTCTGGTAGAACATTGCCAACTTACTGATCTAGGCTAAAACTCATGGACCTACCTTTATTGCACTATCGTAAAAAATCCAACTGGGTAATGTTCGCCATCACTTATGGGGCACGCGACCGTCGCTACTGGAGTGTAAATGCTTCGGCCACGGGCTTTCCTCGACCCGAAGGGGGTCTGCCATTTGCCCCCAGATACAGGGGGATCCGAACTAACCGTAACTGTGCAAACACCGGTGGAGGTACGACTATACTCCCCCCGTGAGGTCGCTGGAAACCAGTCCTGGTACGGTCTTGTCTCTGCCATTGCTGGCTAGTGGTAGTCTGGTGGAGAGAAGAAAACTCTCAGTAAAATTACCCGAATCCAAAGCTGACACTGTGTTTTTTCTACAAATGCCTGGCCAAAGGGCTTCCCGGGAAAGCGGGCTATGCCTCGGGTGACTAACGCCTTCCTGACTAATCCTAGCTAAAGACGATCCAACACTCCTATCGAGAATCGAACTGAGGCAATGGGCCAAGAGGGTCAGAACCCTCATTGGCGTTCTAGACGGGCACTAATGAAGGACAGATTACTCGGCACAAGTTGCACTCGTTGTCCAACGAGTTCCAACGAGGAAAAAGGAGGGCCGGGTGGCATCAGGGTAGAGTAAAATCCATCGCCTGCCAAGGTGCTATCACGATGGCCCTCTACAGAAAGCGGTGGCGGCGCTAAAAGAGGTTTACCCAAAAGCCAAACGGGAAGACGCTCCCGACATAGGTCTCACAAAAATCCTAAATGACAGGCAAGCGGAAGACGAGCCACTTTTTCATATACCTGTGGTACCTTTTTTACACCTTTTTTTGGGTCTGCAACTTAGATCGCCATAGACGGCCCTGTTGTACAAATCTGCGCAGATAGGGACCAATAGATATAGGGTACAAATAATTCAAAGACAATGTAAAATAAAATCTCGCGGTTATCTCGGTATATTATTTGTTAAGGTCAAATCAAAGTAGAAAGATACTTAAAAGTGGATATGTTGTTTAAAAAGGCCAATTTTGTTTAAGTCTTTCCAACAAGCCAATTTTCATTAAAGAATACAAAAAATACAGTCCCCTTCCGAGAGCGACGCCCACAAAACAATGGTTCACATACCCATGAGTGAGCTTATATAGTGCTCATTTAGGATCCCTGGATTCTCAGTAACAGGGTCTCCTGTCCGAGGACTCAAGGACACATTTTTGCTCAAAATTTCAGCTACAAAGACCACAAAGCAGTGAGAAAGCCAGGAGGCTCACTGAGAATCTGCTTCACCTATATAGTGGTCATGACCCGCCTGTCCATCCTCCACAGACGCCTCTCCGTGCGCTCATCGCAGATTGCGAGGTCAAGGACATCGGCCTAATTGTGCGGTGGGACGCCATCGCACATCACTATCAGTGGGGATGTACTGACACTAAAGAAGAGGGTGAGAACCATTTCATTTATCTACTGACCACCTTTACTACCAAGAAACATGAGGAGGTCCTGGACCACACACTTGCCTCTAACAAGATAAAGAGGAACATAGTATCCTGAAGGGTTCTTAAAGAACACTCCTTGTTTGACCACTGGTACGTGGAAACTGCATTCTCTGTCTCCAGTCCAGTTAAATTTCGAAACATCAGGCGGATTAGGTATTCAGATTGTTTAGCTTACATTCTTTCACCACGAAGAAAAAATTGACCGACGCCTGCAATGAGGCGCTCGGTAAATTTTCCCTTCTACTGAAACAAAAGGGCCGGAAGAAACATAAATGGTGGACTCCGAATCTACGAGAGCTCCGAAAAGCCTCGCGAAGACTCTTCAACAAAGCTTAAACATTAAACGTTGAGCAGAACTGTTGCCTCATGTTCTACCCTGACGTTGTCAAATCTAGAGAACATTTCTTGGGTAATAAAACGCTTTAAGCCCTACAAATCTAGAGGAAACAGATGACCCTGCCCAACTGATCCACGACGGACAAAGAGCCGTTCACTGACTCAAAAGAATCTACGAGGGAGTCTTCTCTAACGGGCACATCCAATCCGGTACACGGACTTTGGGAGTTGATTCCCGGACAGTGATCTTCATCGAACAGATGGTACAATGCAGGACCGTTAAGGCATCACTAGGGACATCAACTTCCACGAGGTTTGCCAGCAAAGGCACACCGCAGGGCGGAGTCAACTCGCCCCTCTCCCATGGAATGTAGAAATGAACATACTGCTGCGGCAGATAGAGGGGAGTAGTTGCCGCGTGGTAGCGTATATGGATGATGTTGCAAAAGCATTCTCTGGTAGATTTCCAGAAATCCAATGTGAGTGCATATACTCCGACTATCTATCGTTGTCAGAACCTCAACAGAAAGCTCGATTACAAACTAAGCATATAGGTAGGGTAAAGAAGGCCAAAGTTACCCTCTGTACCTGCAGAAAAACTACAGACTAGAATAGGTAATGACGCCGTATACTGTTAGCTCTACACCACCTTCCTACGACTAATCATGTTCTGTGGAGAGGTGGTATCACCCGAGTTCAACGAATCGCAGAGCTATGAATATCTGGCGGATATCATACAGTATCTCTTCCCGGAAAACTCACTAGAAGCTTGCAACACAGTCCGCACTCAGAATGAGAGAAGCCAGACTATGGAAAACATCCGCGATTCGAAACTCGGGAATCTTGACGAGCCTTCAGCAATTACCAAATAAACAGATTACTGTATCTCAGGTGATCACCTCTCGACACCTTTCCAGGACTGCGAGATGGGCGAACATGAACCTGCAAATCCGGTCCACATATACGCGTGGGTGAGGGAATCTATTGTACTGAGCTTAGCATCAATCACTGCATCGGGCTCCCGGCTCACAGTATAAAGTTCCAAGCGGAGGTTGTAGCAATCAAAGAGGCAATTTCTATTGTCCCCAAGCATTCACTTAGTGTATGTCTTCTCGGACAACGAAGAAGCGTCCCTTAACGAGATCGCAGAGAATGTAGACCGCTTCCTAATATAAGGCAGTGAGTGTTACCGCAGACGAACTTTCCAGGCAGGGCACTAGCGATGCCGATGGATACGTGCAGGCTTCTCACACTCGATATTTTCGAGCGGCCTGTAAACACGAAATGTTAGCAAATCATCACCTACAAAATCTCGCGATTGATATGGCCATGCAGATCCATGAAACGCTCGGCACAGCTATACGGACTCAGCAGAGTACAAAGCTTTGCAGTTGCACGAGCCATTACGGAACCTATACAGATTGGTACGCACGCCTCCAGCCTATCGATCTTCCACAATAATTATTGCAGAAGTTGTCGGGACGAGAAAGAGTCGATTCCCATATCTTATGCCCGGCCTTTGGAAACTGTAGACTTCACATCGTGGGGTCTCATTCGTCACGGATATACCGGACCTATTCAAAAGCAACTCAGGGCTCTTTTCCAAATAAATCCAAGCCACAGGATGGAACGGCCCGTCTCACCACAGTGACATCAGTGCACAAGTATAAAGCGGACCAATCAATATCCCTAATGAGGTTATTAAGCTTCGCAAACTCGGCTTTACGAAAGCAGCGGACACGTTCAGGTAGCCTACTCGACCGATCCAATACAGTTGGTTCTATATCTAGCGACACCTCGAAAGTAGGGTGGTAGGCGTCTTCAGGTATAGTGAGCGGAAGGGCTCGGGTTAACAACACTATGGTCGGATCCGATACAAAGCACAGATCAAGCAATCGACCCAAGGAATTTTTCACATGATTGACTTGAGACAGGGACAGGTCCAGCAAGCCGTCAACAAAGTCATATCGTGACATGGGCCCTAGGATACTAGACTCGTTTACCGAAGACCAAAAAGTTCCTGGCAAGTTGAAGTCACCAAGAACTATCATACGATCTTTATCAGATAGCGAGGAAGAAACAGCGGTTAAAGCGGACAAGTGCTGCTCATAAATTGAAATATCCGAAGAAGGTTGGATATACCAGCAAGTAATGAATATAGCGAAAGCGGGAAGAATCAGTTTCAGAAGAATCACACAGGAATTCCAGTTCCTGTTGAACTTGGACTGTGAAGTGTTCCGACGTGAAGTAAGAGTCCACTGCAATTAGAACCCCCCCTGCACGTCGAGACGAACGGTCCTCTCTAAAAGTTGTGTACCGACCTGCCAAAACCTCGGAACTAAGAATGTCCGGTTTTAACCAGGTTTCAGTAAACGCAATAACGTAAATGCAACACTATCCCGGATAGGTTACATTCTGATAGGTTACTAAAAGAGAAGTTAGTTTTTTGGAAAGGTGGAAGCAAGACGGGAAGTTGAGGAAGAGGAAGTTGAGGAAGAGGAAGTTGAGGGTGGCACACTGGAAAGATTTGTAAGGGATATGGGGGCCTATTCTTCTTCTTAGCCTTAAACTCCTTCACCACCAAATGCTCCGGCCAAAATTTGGCGGAGCAAATGGTGTCAAATTGAGTTGGGGAGATGCTTATCTTAAACGAGGCTATCTCCCTGGCATAAGAGAAGTTGAATTTCTCCACCTTTAAACCCACGGCTTTTATTTTGCTTTGAATAAAAGCAATTACATCATTAGATGTGAGGTCAGGGGCCAGCCCAAAAACCGCAATCAACTGAAAGAATTCATACTGGAAGAATGGCAAAAGATTCCCTTTGAGTATGACCTACAAAACTACAAAATTTTTAGTAAATGACCATGTTGACAAATTTACAAATCTTTATCAGATCTGATTAATCCGTTTGCAGTGGTTAAGCAAAGTCTTCCACACGCTTATAAATGTAGAGTCGCGGTCGTACCTGCGACTGACAAAGTTCTCGCTCGTTTACTTAAGCTTTCATTTCGTGTTGTGCAAATAAAATAGTCAAATGGCGCGCTCACCAGGGCATTGTTTACGAATGTGTAAGTAAGTCAGCTATAGCCGGTCGGCGGTTATGGTCTTATTCCGCTACTCTCAACACCAGTAGCACAAGAACAACGATACATATTTGTTAGGATTGGTGGTTTGTTGATTCACCAACGAGCACAGCTGATTCATATTCGGAATATTTTTTTCTCAGTATACTTTAATCGTTTCTCTGCTGCTGCCATTGTGATCAACTGTACCGCATTTAACTCAAAACTTCAATTTTTCAACTTTTTGCCAAAAATTTTAGGTAAAACAAGTACATACCTGCATTCCAGCAAATTAAGAATTGTATGGGTCACGACCAACAAGCGCTCATCGCAGATTGAACAAAGACATCGGATTAATTATGGAGAGCCACGGTGTGAGCACCTTATCAGTTTCATACTGATTAGTTAGGCGATAATTTCAAACCGGGGTACCCTACCTTCGCAATCCAAACCGCAATGAGGCCATGGATCTCACACTTGCTCACAAGATAAAGATTAATAAGATAAATATCATGGAGAGGCCTTGAAGGGCATTCCTTTTCAAAAAACCTCTCTCTCTCTCTTTCTTGCTGGCCTAGTGGTCAACGCTATTACACCGCTTAACATATAATAATAATAATACATTAATATATTAATAATAATATATTGCGTTGTAGGTAACGACAATAAACACTTTTTTGATTCAGTTGTTTACATGTAAATTCATTTGACCTGTTATCTGCTATTAGCTTTGTCTTGAAAATGCAGGTTATAAATATATCTGTATGTATCGATCTATTTACAGCGGCGATTGAATATCGGTAGGGCACACTCTAGTCGAATCGAGTATAAGCCCCAGCTCCATTTTGTCAGACTCTTTCGAGCAGGTGGAGTCTCACTGTAAAGACGAGCCAAATTAGCAACATCCGCTTTCTGACCTGGTAAAATAAAGACTTTCTTCTTTCTTCAACCTGGGTTTAATGATCATTAAATAGCCACAAACTTGTTTGTGTACTATATATACTATACTAGTACATATAAAACATATAAAAATAAAAAGGAGACCTTTAGGCTAGTGGGGGAAAGTCTAAGTCTGTAACTGCTGAGAAACACGAAATTTAACAAAATAACTTTTATATCAACAAAAACAGTTACAAGTGGCACAGCTGCATTTTTGTATATATCCCAATATATGTAAGCATAACAACTATTAGTACTTTAGATATGTTTTTATTATTTAAATGAAGCTTTTACATATTATGCCACACCTGCATAAGTGAAAAACCATTTTTTTTTACATTTAAAATTTGTATTTACATTATATACATAACATGTTTTTGATTATTAAGTAATTTAAGTAGTACTTCCACAATGCACAGATTTAAATCAGCTTCTTTTAGAAAAATCTCGTTTGTTTATTAATTACTATCGTTTTAAAACTATCTGTTATTCCTCTGATTTAGATCGCATGGGAAAAAAGAAGAGCAGTTCATAGACTTTTGCATAGTGTTGCTCTGATTCCTCGTTACTGCAGCACTGTCAAACTGACTATTCTGGTATCCGTCCAGTCCAAATCCATGTCGAAACGAAAATGTGTTGGTGGTGTTAGGAGGGTTAGAGTTTTTATTATTCATGTGAGCTGCACTTGCAAAAGAGCTTTGACCAGTATTCATACTGTTCCAATCATTCATTGTATTAAAATTTCTTATAGAGCGTTGCGTCAACACGGTATCATGACTTGAGTTATAACTTAAATTATCTGGTTGAAATGGCTCCGCTGTATTGTTCATTCGGCCAGTTTCCAAGTTCTCGAATTCATCCAAACGTTTCTTTTTCTCAATCAGGGAATACACATGCAGGATTTTTTGAAGTTCATCCCTGTTTATCGACGTTTTGCCTTGAGAGATTAATGAAGAGGCTAGCTTTGCCGCTAGTTCTCTCTTATCAATGGGCGTTTGAACATTAAACAGATCTTTGTTACCCATTTGATTATCCATTTTTTCCGTTATTTGATGAGCTGAGTTACCCTTTGAATTGGAATTGATAGTGCTTATCGATTTCTCTACGTTTTTAAGTAATGCTTCGGTGTCATTAATCGCTTTTTTAATGGCCCGTTCCTTGGCAGGATCATATATTTTAGAAATTAAAATTCCTGTAAATTTCTCTTTTGTCGTTTCTAATATGGCACAATTCTCCGATGTTAGCAATAGATTGTGGATATTATCTGGATCAGCCTTCTGCGCCTGTAATGCTTTGGTTAACATTTCTGTAATAAAGGGTCCCAAACTTCCCAAAAATTCCTCTAGTGCAGTTAAAAGACGAAGAACGTGAATAATATTTGTGGTGTCATCATGAACATGATTTCCCAGAGAGCTCTTCGGAGTCCCCATTGTCTCCATATTAATATTCATTTTCTCAGGTGTACGAACATGATAGTTTTTATTCATTAACTCGTCATTTGTCAGCGGCAAACACAACCTATCTCTACATTTTAGCTTAATATTCTCCAGATCGCGATTGTACAATTCTTCAAGTCGCGCGTTAAAGAAAATAATCCATTCATTTTGAAAATTATAAGAGCGATGGTTAATTCCCGCCATTATGAGTTCATCTTTGCGTCGCTTCCAGAAGATTTGCCACTCTACTTGATAAAGAGGATGCTGTTCCGGATCAGATTTGTACACCTCAAAAGATACGTTCAACTCGCGTACTTTTTGATCAACCATATGCCGGTACGCTTGCCAAATATCACCATCTCTTAACGGGGACAGTGATAATGATCTGCGTTCTGTATTGTATTGCTTTTTCAATTCCGGGCTAGGCAGTTTCTTCCATCGTTCGGATGAGCGTGACCGCGATCGAGCTCTTTTCAAATTTCGAAATAGCGGTTTCGATGAGACCGAAGATTTCCTGGTATCTCTTAAAAAGTTTTCAACCAATCGCTTGTGTGTTTCATCATCAACGGTCTCCGTAAAAGGTGCTTCAGCTAACTTCGGGTAGCTAAAATAGGTGTTCGTTGTATGGCTTACAGCCTGAGATATATTTATGTTTTGAGATTCACATAAATTGACAATGGAGCTTCCATCATTTACTGGCTGGTTACTTTTTATACGAGTATTTTCCAATAGTTTTTCGACATCTTTCGAATCAACGATATGCGTAAACGTCGGTCCTGTTTTTTCAGAAAAATGACGTCTATTATAAACTTTTGCAACTACGGCTGAACGATTTTTTTTATAAAAGTTATCATAGCAAAGGTAGGCAGATTCCCGACCATAATGCTTCTCAACAGCCATTGCCAGTTTATCTAAAATGGGAATCATTACTTTGCACACATCACTTTCTGTAACTTCCGACACATATTGTCGGTACTGTCGCATGGCCGTAGGAAAATGCTTCTCAAAATATTTTAGACGGTGATTGTAGCCAAGTAGGTGTGTATGCATCGCAGCCTCGTCAGAAGTAATGTCACAGAAGCTGCATTGATATCTGGGATTCTTATCGTTTATATTTCTTACTACTTTTATAACGTATTCGACGCCTACAAGTCCCACAATTTTATTTGGATTTTTCTTAGATTCAAAGGTAAAAATACTTGACCCTGATGATGTTTTTGACTCGTTAACGCGAGAAGCGACACCTATAACCGGTATTATTTCATCAGTCTTATCCAAAATGTTTTTGTTTCCAATTATTTCAATATTCGAAAAGAATTGCTTTGTGTTCTGAACTTGTCTGATATTATTGTTTGAATTTTCTCTTTTATTACTCTGGTTGCGTTCCTTCTCGTCTATAATAATGACATCGCTGTTACCCTGGCTTCTCTCGGTAGACTCGGCGGCACCAAGAAGCTTTGCAAGCGGAACACATGAAATTTTCGTAGATAACGGATTTTTTACTATATTTTGAGTATCCTGATTATTTTGGGACACCACCATATTTTGCACCATTCTCGTGGTTTTCGGACAGGGTTCGACTTCAACACTCCCTTGAAAATGTGGTAGTTCTTCAGAAATGGATTTGGACACGGACTTGAGTGCAGAATTTTCTACCTTGTTTTTATGTTTCAGGCCATCACAAAATATTGTCGAGTTTAATGAAGTCGCGGGTGAGTTTGCTGTTGTGACTTTTTTCAAAGTATCTACTACCGTTCCCGAATCCTTTTTTGTTTTTTGATTGTCATTTATAATTAGACTTGTTTTAGATTTTATTTCTTTGGACGAATCCGTACGGTCTTCATTTTCGCATGGAATACTTCTGGCGTTTGCATAATTTTTAGAGCTATTGCTCGGGATTTTTATTAATTCTTCATTTGGACCGGGTTGTTGTGAACAAGTCCGCGCGCTGGAACTGGCTTTTTTTGGAAAAGGTTGGGGTTTTACTGTCGCTGTTGCCATTTTTTGACTAATAGTAGTGGGAGTGCCAGGGTTTCGAGTCGGTAGATTTTTGTTTGCAGCAGAATAGCCTTTACCACTTCCTGTGTTATTTACGATGACGCTTGCTGCATTCAGTGATTTCGGAGAGCTTGAATTCTGTTCAGTAGAAAATCTATTCCGTATTTGGAGTTGTTTTATGCTGGTCAGGAGTAAGTTGTGCTTTTTACCACACAGATGACTGAATAAGTTTTTGTCCCCGTACTGAACAACGTTGCAAACATTGCAGAGATACATCTTCTTTAATGGGTTCGGACATACTACCATGACTTCCCATTTATCAGTTGTACTTCGCCGAAACTCAAAAATCAATACTTCTTCCAATGATATGGTTGACAACATCTCCAGAAATTTTGCCCCATCGATGGGCTTATGTGTTCGAATGTTATTGGTATTCATCTTCACCACAAAGTGATCTTCTGCATATGGCTCAAAGCAAGGTTGAAATTTTTTTCAAGTTTTTTTTTTTTTATTTTATATCTATTGATATTAACTTCAGCTTAGATTTCAGTTATTGAGTTGCTATAAAATTGAAGGAAAAAATACTTTTATATCAAATTTAAACAATAAACAACCAATCTTAAACTTCTATATATTAATATTTCATTCGGTTCATAAATCTATTTATTTAATATAGAATAAATATTTCAGTAACAACAAAATCTGTAACTACTACTTGCGATTTTTAAGAGTACTCGTAATGTACCTTTCATGATTTTCGCTTCTTATAAGATTTGTCTTAATTAAACAGGGTATGAAGTAGCCAAATAAAATTTACAATGAGCGAATAACTGATGGCTTTGATATTTTCACTTTGGCCACTACGAGAACTTAGATATATATCAAGATATAGTGTGATCATGATATAGGCTATTTCTCTCTAGTTTTGTCTCTCTATCTCTCTCGCACAAAGCAACACAACGAACATAAACGACCTTTTTGTGCTTTGCTCATTTTCAGACCGTTTTTTTTCTCTTGGTAAGCTTACATTTGTCATTGTGAGACCGATTCGTGTGCTCGGCTCAAACCAATAACCCAAGCAAAGAGTAAAGAGTGTTCGGGTCCGCGAGAGACGGGCTGTGCTTGGTTTTTATACCCGATACTCAGAATAAGTATATGGTATATTAGATATATGTATATTAGATTTGTGCTGAAAGTGGATGTGTGTAACACCCAAAAGAAAGCGCTTCAGATACCTAAAGTAAATATATTCTTGCGCACCATCAATAGCCGAGTCGATTGAGCCATCTCTGTCTGTCCATCCGTCCGGATGAGCGCCTAGATCTCAAAATCTATAAGAGCTAGAGCAACAACATTTTGTATCCAGACTCATGTGATATTACACTGTTACAAGTGTAACCCACCTCCGCCCCCACAAAGAACGAAAATCTGTGGCATCCACAATTTTGAAGATAAGAGAAGGCTTAACACCCGGAATTATAAAAAATGACCGTATCTAACAGATTGCCAAATCTGGATATGATCATTATTATATCTGGAAGGAACAAATGAAACTGCAGTGACTACGCAACGCCTTCCACGCGTTTACTCATTCCCTCTCTTTCACACAGACTCTTATCGTGCAGTATACGCCCTCTGGCGGAGGGGAGCCATACTGACTGAGTACCGGGTATAAATAAAGAGTCGAGGCCGTAGCTGCGACTCGCAACGTTCCTCTCGTTTTTTTTTCAGGGAGCAGTACTCGTTGCAAAAATGGCTTGAGACTTATTTGAAAGCATTGGTTTAGAGACAACCATCAATTGGTTTTGATGGTTGGTGGACTCGCCAACACGCTCAGCTTTACAAATCAAACTAAGTTATTTTATAACATGTAAAATACCACTGTATGGCCAAGCGCCTGGCATACAATTTTAAGACAAGTGTTTTTTAATTGGCTTTTTACACTAGGTTTGAGTTGATGCATGGTGCCAAAAACGCAGGTGTTTCACATATGTATTATGAGTATAGGGCGGTAAGCAGTGGTGGCAAAAGGTAAGTTACTCTTACGTTTTAGTTGCGTTAATTTGTTTTTCTTAATGCGTATGTTTTTTTCTGCCTATCATGTGAACTGTCACCACTAGAAACAACAATGACATCTATTCTCGCGGGTAGAAATGGAGGTATAGATACATATAACCTTTTAAACATTTTTGTGGATACCTGTAAGGGGCAAACACGCATTGCAAGATTTATGGGATGAAAACAACGATAGTTTTCATGTTCCGCCGAAGAACTCACAAACATACAATGAAATAGCAGAAAACTTAAAAGAATTCGCATAGTTCCATTCCGAAACCGATTATAAAATTGAGATAACATTTTTTTAATAATTTTGTTGATTTCTTGCTTCCCATATTGGCATCAAAACACATAACAGTTGTTTTAATAACGTCTTACCCAATAACCCAAAAGACGCATCTGTGCAAAAAGGCTGTAACTGAACTAACTGTTAGAGCCCTGCTTGAACGCTCGCCCTAAACGGACTGAACGAAGCTCGTACTGCTATCTTTACTATGTCGGATGCGACTTCGGATTTCACCTTATTTATACGCACGAGCCATTTTATTTTTTATAGCCAAACACTCCCGAAATATCTCGGAATCCCCTCCATCTGGGTGAACACATAACAGTCGAAACGCCAAAAACATGTGATTGTTACTGACAGGTAAGTAATTAATACTAATACTAAGTTTACCAAACGAAAAAGGCCTAAAATACATATATCTGCGCAGTTAGACATAAAAAAACAAGCTGCAAGAGAAAATGAAGTGGATATAAGAGACTATAATAGCTAGAACAACAAAATTTTGTGTGTGGGCTTCTGTGACATCACACTGGATCAAGTTTGTTTAAACATTTTGCCACGAGCCCATCCGCCACCATAAATATTAGACAGAAGGAACAAATTTAATTGCAGTGGATACGCAACGCATTCCACGTGCTTACTCATTCTCTGACTCTCTCTCACACACTCTTCGTCGTGCAGTGTTCGTCCTTTGACGAGATAAAACTGTAAAAAAAAAAAACAAGGAGGAATTGGGGAATTTAACGCTGTTGACGACTAGACCAGTAGAAGAACGTCCATTCGCATCACCGTATTATCAGACTTTGTTCGCTGGTCTTTTGCATCATGGTTCACTATCGAAGTGATCTGGCACTGTATATATTTCAAAGGCTGAACTACCTCCGTCTTTGTACAAATATTTTGTATGCATCTTAGAATTCAGATAATCAACTCTGCAAAAAATGATCAACATTTGGATTGGTTTTGGCCTCCAGAGCAATCATTACTTTCTGGTAAATAAACATTTTCCACAAATATTCTTGCCCCGAGTCAAACATATGACAACTTCTTCCACCGGGAAACGTGTGCCGTCACCATGGCAAACATCCAACAATAGCGCTTTGACCTGCCACTCAAATCAACATATTCATTTTTCAATCTGGGTCAAATGAAAAGATCAAATGAAACAAATTTCTATTTAGTTTGTATCCCAACTAACGCTAGACTACATGAATACGTTTCACACATCTTCAGATACCAAAGAGGAGATAAAAACAACTTATTGGCTTCTTTAAAAAGGGTATTCGGAAAAGATTCAAGTTAGCAATATCTAGACCATTTTTGGTCAAAATTCTGTGGAATGCTTTACCACTATTAGATAGACGTTTCATTTTTATAGACAAGACATTGACTACAGTCATATAAAAATAAACACATCGTTTTATCCATTTATCGAATCGTGTTCTTGGTCTCCCCAGGTAGAAATGGGGGCTTTCGTAGACTTTTTTTCGGCCACTATATGTCGTTTTATTCCTTATCACCATGGTAAGCCGAATCGATCTAGCCATATCCATTTGCGTGTTTATGTAAGTAACTATGTACATTCATATGTACGAACAGGTATATCATCGGCCGGATAAGACTGTTAAACATAGCTGCCATAGAAGCGATCGGTAAGAAGTATAGTTCTGTGAGTGAGAACAAAACTTTAGACCTATACATATGCACATTCCTATTTTTATTAAATACTCAAGAAAATACAACCTCAGACAACCTTCAAAATTATTAAAAGCAATGGTTTTTATACGTACAAACACCTTCAATATTTGTCCATCAAATTTATAAAATATAACCAGCAGCATAGCAACCGAAAAAGTAACAGCATAATCACCGTCAATTTGTTTGAAAAATGTTATTACGACTCAAAATCGGACAGATGTTTGTGGTCAAAGCAGTATCATGAGAAACAAAAAATGAGGGCACAAAAATAAAACTGGACAATAAATACCATTTGAAAACATATTCACGAAATAACTATTGATTTTTGATTATCTCTAGACATATAGTAAACGTAATGTTTCAGATTCATACGCACACATATTACGTATTTTATAGACCAAAATTACAAATTTGTCTAGTTCTTCTAATAATTCTTATTATTTCAAACTTACCGGCGAATGAATTTTACTGTGAGATTGCTTAGAGCAAACACTGCCTCCGTTTCCAACGTCCAAACCTACGCCAATTTTATATTACTTGTGTTCAATACACGCATATATTGAAGAGTTTCTATTTTCTTAATGGTGATGAGCAAAAAGTGGATTTACTTAAATTTATAGCTTGTATTAGGCCAAACATGGACAGAAAATTTTGATGGTAGGGCATCAAAAAAACAATTGTCACATTAGACTTCACAGATTCCAAATAATTGTCTGATATTAAGGGATGGACTAAAAGCGATATATTTTATATTAGCATACAAGCACTAAGGGCATTCCCGTAAAAGTTGAAAGTAGTATCGAAATTGGATCAGTTACATTGGATCTTAACAAATTTACTCCATATTCCATAGTCGTATTTACTGAAAATGGTTTGATTACAGTCAAAAGCGTTTTGATTTATATTTATGGAATTTTCACGCGTTTAAGGATTACATAAAACTTTATCTTGTACAATCGCACTTTAAATTCTTTTATATTTATGGAATTTTCACGCCTTTAAGGATTACATAAAACTTTATCTTGTACGATCGCATTTTAAATTCTTTGTTTCAATTTAATTAGGATAATTAAGACGACACTCAACTACCGTCAGATTTTTACAAACGAAGCACCATGCCTAACTATTGAGAAAAAAGGTTATTATACGTACTGCCGAAGCAAGACAATTTTTTCACACCATAACTAAGAGAATTGGATGCATTTTTTAAGTGAATTTAGTAAAATAATGCGTAATTGATAATACAATCTAATTTATTCATTATGAAGCAACAAAGACAATATTCTCTTATACAATTTTTATTTATATCAATATCGGAATTTTTTCTTGGTACTGCAGGAGTACCATTAATTTAATACACATATAAATCTATGGAATTTACTATCTGTTTCTTCCTTGAATTGGAACGATTAATATATTGGCTAATTTCTTATTAATACTAATATTGCATTTTCGAAAGTATTTTTAATTCGCTTTAGTGAATTTCTGTAAGTATCCCTGTAGGAGGAAATGAAGCAAAGTATTAAATCTTAAAATATTATCGCCATCATTAGAGTAGACTGCATTTTGGAAATCTTTTTAAAATATGGACAATTCAGGATATAATCGTTATGAACTATTGTCAACATATGACGAGGATGTCGCAACAGCTATCTCTATAAAAATGAATGTCGGCCTTAGCAATAAGAAACAGATTAAAAAAACAGTCTTAAATAAACCGGAAAAGGAAAATAAGCCAATGACAGGAAACAATAACAATATTGGTAAAACAGAAAAAATTGTAAAACGAGTCGTAGGAAATGTTACCAAAAAGGAAAATAAAGGATTAAGTGATACTAAAAACATTGTGCACATTCCCTCGAATGAAAATAATCGTTTTGGTGGAGTAGATTTTGGCAACGATATTCCCCAACGTCAATTTAAGGATCGTGATAATAGAGGACCACAACGTTTCCGTACCGGAGAAAAATATGCAAAGCGTGAATTTGATCGTCAGTCAGGATCCGGCAAAACCGGTAAATACATTTTTTTTTTAATGTATGTAGCTATTAGTTTTTATTTATTTGCACGAAATCTAAAAATTGGTTTTTTTTTGACTTACAGAAAACTAATTTCGAATTTTTCTTACCGCCAAAATTGGGTAGCACCAAAAAATGTTGTCCTAATGTTTGATTGTCTCTAAAAGTCGTTTTTTTAAACTTTAATCTCGGTATTTACTTGTAGGTCGAACAAATATTCTGATAGCAAAACAATTATTCTCATTGCTATGATTTTTCTGATCAGCATTCCAAGTTGCGTGTGCGACGGCTGCCACTTGTATTACGAGAATAATGCTAAAATAATAGAAAGTTATTAAATTTGTTTAAAGTTTTTTAAATATTCTCAAAGAAACTCCAGTTTTTCACTCTGAAGTTAAATAGTTCTGAGAAAAGGGCCGGCAGTGTCCAATGCGCAGTTCATAAGATATTGTTGTGCTGCTTCGCTGCCGCTCATGTACACATCTGTAACATTGGTTGGTAAAAATACATTGTGCCGTTTGGTATATTTAAAAGTAATATCTGAGGCTTCGTGGGGATTGAAATCCGATTTCGGCGGTCAAAAATATTCTAACAAAAAAATGGTTTCGGTCATTATACCCATACTCAAAATGAGTATAAGGGTATATTAGATTTGTGGTGAAAATGGATGTGTTTAACGTCCAGAAGGAAGAGTTTCCGACCCCATAAGGTATATATATTCTTGATCAGCCGAGTCGATTGAGCCCGGTCTGTCCTTCTGCCCTCACCAAGGACGAACATCTGTGGCATCTACAATACGAGAAAACCAAAAACGCAGAATCAAAGAGAATGATTATATATTTTAGACGGCTGAATCTGAACCAGATCGTATCATTAGTATACCCAGAATGAAGAAAACAATTTAATTTTTCTCGCTTTGTCTCTCGGCTTTGCCTAATGCCAAAAATGAACGCCTAGATCTCAGAGACTATAAGAGCTAGAGCAACCAATTTTGGTAACCACACTCCTGTGGAATCCAAGTACATATGTATTGTGAAATATGATACTACGATAGAGAGAAACGTAAGTTCCCGACGAGTGTTACAGAATCAGATCAATACTATATACATACGTACATATGTATGTCAGTTGAAGACAGGAAAATTCAAGACGAAGTCAGTACGGCTGCAACAGACTATCCAGACTGATTGCAAGGAAGTTGCCCAATTGCTGTTGAGTTTAAAAAAGCAAGAATATCATAAAATACTCATTTAAAGTTATACAAATAACCTATATTTGAGAGTATATGGATACATTAGTTTTCTGGTGGATGTGTGTAGCAGCCAGAAGAAAGCCTTCCCGACTTTATAAGGTACATATATTATTGAACAGCGTCAACACCCGAGTCGATATAGTTTTGTCTGTCTGTCTGATTAAAAATTTTCAGAGACTCGGAGACTTGTGCCGAATCTGGATCGGATCAGATCATTATAGCCAGAGGGAAAAAATGAAATTGCAGGGGCTCCGCAACTCCGTTCACGCGCCTACTCATTCTCTCTCTCCCTCTCTCTCTCTCACGCACACCATTTCTCGTCCTGTGAGGGAGTTGAGAGAGAGGGAGGGACTGGGATAAAGATACAAATTAAGCTATTTGTCGATTTGTCATAGTTTTTCTATCGTTTCTAATGAAATATCATATTTAAAGTATGTTTGTTTTCGATCTATATAATTTCAAAGATTACAAATATATCAAATATCACTTTGAATGGGACTTCTCAAGGGACAGTTCTATAATTTGCAAATTATTTCCCCTTCTAGACTTCTATTTGCAATATATAAATATTGTTACATTTTAACCGTTCGTACCTTGGGATTGAGGATTAGAAAATACAGAGATTTGTTTAGTTTCTAGAGGATTTACTAGAATGGAATTTGGGTTTGAAAAAACTTTGGATGGGGACTGCCTATTTCCAGTAAATCCGGGATGAAATTGACGCCTAGACATCAGAAATTTGAGCGCTGGATTAATATTACCGTATCAATTGCATTTGAATTGTTTGGCCCGTGCACTCACACACTTTTGTGGTAACCATTAATTTTAAAGGTAACTTGAAAGCCGTGAGCGCAGAATTATTAATAATAGCCTTACATACTCGATTTTCCAAAATCGTATCGCCAAGATGGGGGTCGTTATGTGGAAATCATCGTATTCGTTTTCCGCGATAAGTGACTTTTGACGTCTTTGCCTTTTGCATTAATATCGCCCTATTTCAAAAAATTGTTGGCACCTGAACATAAAAACAACTACCACCCTACTATTAATCCTAATATCCCTTTACTTAAAAGCGAGCATGGTGTTGGTGTTGTATGGTTCCAAAAACTGTGGTATGGTATTAGTTTAGGTTAGGTTAAGGCGATAGCCGAGAAGGGGAGATTCCTCCTCTTCCTCGTCGCGACAACTCCTGAAGAAATCGTGATGAGGGACTGACAGTCTAGAGGCATGAGTGCCGATCTGCCAGTGTCCCGTGATGGCTCGAGTAACTGCAGAGCACTGTGCTCCGCTGAGTCTATACAGCTCTGCTGAGCGCTTCTTCGATCGATATGGCCATATCAATCTTGAGACTTTACAGGAAACGGTTTGCTGCCATCTCCTATTTGCATTTTGCTCGAACAATTCGTGCGTGAGGAGACTGCACGTAGCCGTAGATGCTTATTAAAAGTATGCCAAAAATAATTATAAAGGTGGCAAAAAAATTAAGGTGGATACAGCGGATATTAAGTAGTAGATCCTAATCAGGCACCAAAAAAATTAATAATCAGTTAACAATCATTTTTCATAACCTTTGTGTACCTATTATTTTGACATTGACTTAGAAATACAAATGGATAACATCCTGGCCGTCGGAAGGATCATTCTCCCTCCCTATTTGGAAGAGTTTTTAAAGATATATAAATATATATTCAATGATCATTTGATAAGAGTTTAAAAAATGAATTATTAATTGACAAAATTCATTTTTTATAATTTTTTTTAGGTATAAAGTCAGTGGATAAGCGCGAGGGTGCTGGTGCTCATAATTGGGGATCTCCAAAACAAGACATTGAGGAGATTAAAACGGGCAACTTGCCACTGCTTGAAGACAAAGACGACTCTGGCACTGAACAATTGGCCGACCCTGTAAACACTCTGGAGGCGGATGAGTTAAAGCAAATGACGCTTGATGAATGGAAAGCCTTAAGAGACAAACGTGTCAAGCCTAATTTTAATTTACGAAAGGCTGGGGAAGGCGCTGATAACTCTGAATGGAAAAATATGATTATTTTAAGCAAGAAAAGGGAAATAAACAGTGAAGATAATTTTGAATACGACCCATCGATGTATCCTCAACGAGTCGGCCGTCTTCAGCACGTTGTTGATATTAAATATAATTTTAAAGATGCACGCAGAGTGGACTTCCGTGGCCCACAACGCGGAGCCTCTCGACCTGTATCCGCTTCTGGCAATGGCTTTGAAAGGGTTGGAACAAATAAAGTTGGAGAAAAACGTCGTCCTGGTCAAAAACCTTTGAAAGTTGACGATGAGATTGAATTTCCTAATCTGTCTTAAAATAAATCCCGAGAAGATAAATTTTCAACAATGCACCAAAAACAACAGTTGGGCATCTACGGATAATGAATAACCTTTAGACTATCAGGCGATATCTTTGAAGTTTTATACCCGACATCCACGCTTATTCGTATTCCTTAGTTTAAACCACATATTTTTACAATTTCGATTTTTTTTTTACTCATTTAAATGAACTATTGAGAATAGTTAAAATTTTTGAAATAACTTTAGTTGATTTATATAATAAAAGAACGCTTGTTATTCTTTTCATTACTCTAAATTTAAAATTATGATTTATTTAATTTTAAGTTTATTTTTTGAATACCGACTAAAGAAAAATTGCACTTTGTGTACTCTTACAAAGCGTAATTCCTATGCGTTGCTGTCGCCCTTTGCTGCAGAAAGTGATTCGGTGTAAGTTCGTCGGCTTCTGGACTCTCCAACGACACGCAAGTCAGGGGTCGGGAATTTTGCATATTTTCTATCCTTGCTAGTGCTGTTCTCAGTACTGGTTCTTGTACGTGTGTCTCCTGACTATGACTACTACATGCTCGTGGTAAAGCAAGAGCAAGTCGAGAAGTTGATCGGCAAATTTGAGATGTTTCACGGCGAGCTTGAGGAATTGGATCGAAGCGAAATTCACAGTGGTTTGTGTGGCATTTTTGAGTCACTTGCCAGCTCGCTGAAGGCGGCGATTATGAGGGAAATGGCTTAGAGTAGCGGCCGCATGCCGTTTCATTCTCCCTTGGCTGGAGGAAACACTACGGTTGAGTTTGCCGGCTCGCAATTTCTACCTCACCGTAGACAACTCGGTTCTTGGATTTGACGAGCTGCGGACGCTGTTGTACCACATCACGGCAGTGATTAATTCAAGACCTTTAGTTTTAATTTCAGAGAGCCCTGCCGGTCTAGATGTTCTAACTCCAGCGCATTTCTTGAATGGTGGGCCTCCTGCTTCGTTCGCTGAGCCTGACGTCGCGCAGCTAAACTTCGATCGCATGGACGGCTAGCAGCGCGTTTCGTACCTGCAGCAGCTCTTTTGGTCCCGGTGGAAGGAGGAGTACATAACGTCACTGCAGCAGCGCTCAAAGTGGCGCACTGCGAAGCCTAGTTTATCAGTCGCAGATTTGGTTCTTGTCAAGGATGAGAATCTTCCTCCCATGAAGTGGCCACTGGCGAGAGTGGTCGAGTTTTTGCCTGGACGAGATGGCGTTTCCCGAGTTGCTGTGCTGAAGACGTCATCTGGAATCACCAAGCGCGCCGTCAACAAGCTGTGCCTGCTGCCCCTTAAAGATGCTGTTGAAAGTCAGGCTTCCAACGGGGGGAGGATGTCGGGTCAAGCAGCTTAAATATTTTAAATTATTGCCAGTGGTGCGGCCCAAAGGAAATGCATTTTGGTGTTGTCGTTTCCAATGCCCTCAATGCAAAGATCGTTTGCTACCGCATATGCGTATGCAGCGGAATTCTTTCGTCTCCTTATATCGCAATCTCTCGTACAGCGTCCCCGAGCAGCTCTAACGCTCTCGGGCTATCCCACGCTCTCGCTCGCGTCTAAGCTTGCTGCATAGGGCCCGGCCATTTAGCCCGTCAGCCCTTGCATGGGCAGTCTTGAGCTAATCGTTGCAGCTATTGGAGTAATCCTCGCATCAATCGTTCGACCCATATGTAAATACGCGATAAGTTGCAACAGTTATTAAAAACGCTTAATAGCTTAACAGACATTTTGAATTAATTTGGAGGGAAACAGCTGTCCTTACCCAGATGTTCTGTTACGCGCATGTTATGGGAACAATCTGTGTTGTTATGCGAAAAAATGTATTTCTTGCCAACGTTCTGATAACCTAATCGGACTAAATCAGCTGTTTTTACGAAAACGAAAAGTGTTGTTACAACGACCAATTATTTCCGAGCCAAATTTGAAGATAGGTTAAGAATAAATTTGTATAAAGAAGGTACAAGATAAATTGCCCTGGTAATGGTGTAAAATTTATGTTAATGTATAAAATCGTTGTATAAAGAGCCGTTTACTTTTCATTTCGTTGAGGAAAATGTTTTCGGTTTGAAAACGAAGAAATCTTGCATACTGTGAAGACGGGAACAGCAATTTATATGATTTCAGAAGTAAGTCGGAAAACTTTTGTGAAAGGGAAAATCAGAACCTGGCGAATTTCTTATATAGCTACAATATTAAAATGTTTAAGTGTTTTCTGCGATTCACTACAAAAAATAACCACATGCACGCGGAAGAACGAAACATCAGAGATCCCGATGTCGATAAAAACAGAAAACAAATATTTTTCAGTTGCAAATTGGAAAAATGTGTTGTAGTGAGATGAAACTAAGAATAATTTGTGTGGATGCCATTAAAGGGGAGTTTCAGCAAGTTAGTGACCCCAATCACTCTTTAATGGTGAAATGGTTCCAGAACAACAAAGTTGAACTGACTAAATTCCTTTAACAGTCATCGTACCTTAATGCCTTAGCTCACCTTTGGATGATCCCAATGAAAAGGTCTGGTGGCTATAGTTAACAAAGTTTTCTTTATTATTATGCCTCTCACTTCAGTGATTATAATCATTGATTACTGCCAATGCATTGCAATGGATCAATTACTATTGCTGGTACTTCCTTAGCTTCAAATTTCAGTTGACTCAAAAAAAGAAAAATACTATAACAGGGTAACATGTCACGGGCGTGGTAAATATGTTTACAAAACAAAATGGATGGGTTAATATGTGCAGTAATATAATTTAATCCAAAATCTGTATTTATTTTTATCAAGTTTTAGGGACATTCCTTATTTTTTCTATGGATGTATACACGCAGCTCATGGGCGGAGTAAGTTTTATTTGTTTTTATTTTTTTCTCCGGTTGATCCATACACGACTGCTCGAACTTAAAATAATAAAATAAGCTCGATAAGGAAACATCAAAATTGTTAAGGATTATCATGTTACTTACAAAATGCTGGTATTCTGGCGAGGTGGACTCCAATAGTAAAATTCTGTTCTCAACATTTTTAATACGATTAATAATATTTTCATTGTTTTTGCTGGTCAAGCCCATGTATGTTTCAATTGAATGTAAACGTGAATTTTGTAACGATTCTCCTACTTCATTAGTGCTAACACGTGATGTCGTTAGCCTACTTAGTTCATGTTTGTATTTGGGCCGGAACTGCATCTGTTGTGGTCCACAACGATTTGTAGCACGCCGCACTGCGATAAAATGATTTCATATACATTCATGTACTTAATTACATGAAAATTAGCAATTGATACACACCTTTCAAATGACAATTCGACTGTTCCTGTTTTGAAATCGTACTTTGAGTTCTAGCGCAAGAAACGTCTACTTCTGTGTCGGAATTAATATTAGAGCTTAAATTTGACTGCTTGAAGTCTATTACATTACAGGAATTTATTTCTGCTCTCTTTCTTTTAAAAAAACATTCTACACGATTTTTTAGCTCGCAGTCATTAGCTCTAATTTGGACTAAATTTCGAGATACGACGCGCGACTCATCGACTTTACAAACAGAATAATTAAAACTACTTAAAGATTTTTCTGTAAATTACATAACAAGAAATATAATATTTATATTTTATTTATAATCTGGATTAACGTTATTTTTTATGTCTTACTAGGCCTGATTGACTCGGAATTTTCTTTCCATTCAGCATCGTGGTTACCTTCGTATAATTCTTTTTTCCATATGGGTACACGCGATTTTAGTTGGTCTATAGCAAATGTAACTGCTTTCAAGGCTGCGGAACGATGTGGGGCTGAAGCCGCTATAACTACGCTTGCCTCGTTTTCGGGAACTGTTCCTAATCGGTGATATATTAAAATGTGTTTTAAGTCGGGCCAAGTTGCACGGAGGTCTGAGCATATTTTATCCATTTCTTTAAGGGCCATATTTTCGTATGCTTCATATGCCAATGATACCACCTGTAACGTTAGAATTACATACAAATTTACTTGACCATACATGTACATATGTCCACGGCACGTGTTTCAGTTCAAAATCTTACTTTTTTTCCTTGAAAGCTATCCCGTGTGGTTCCTATAAAAATTGAAGAGGCTCCGCAACTCGGATCACTTATTAAATTTATTGCATAAGTGACGTCGATTGGGCAGTCAATCAATTTAATGTGGTTCATTTCGACTGGCTTAGCCTCCACTTAGAGGCGGTATTACAGCTAATTCGTCACCGTCTTTCAAAAATATACTGTCATTTAAATTTTCGATGAACGATTCGTTATGAGCTATAATCAAATTATGCCGTATGGTCGTTAGGCCAAATTGAATAACGATTTTGTCTAGTAAATCAGAGGCTCTAATTTCAGATGGGACTGTAAATACTGAGCGAGTAGTTTGAGATAATTCACGGCACTTAGCGAAAAACAGCACGTGTATATCAACAGATACCGGTCTGCTCGTATTCATGTTGACAAATACCATAATATTTTTGGTGGAAGGGGATAATACCGATTATTACATGCGTTCTGGTATATTTTGATTGAAACATTAAAGGCCTCCGACTACAGCGTTTTCTTTACTTTAGATTATTCCATTAACAAAAATCGTATTACAAAAATTGTTTATGTCCACATCAGCGAACAATTTTTAAAAAGGTAAAATATGCAAGCAGAAATGTCAATTATTTTGCAGGTAAAGTATATTTTTTATGAGAGCAAGAATAAAAGTATTCATTGTGGCGGCTTTTACTGTGGCTCTTAAGGAAAACGTTGAACAGACGAAGCGCCGCCAATACATACCTGCGGGAAAGAAATCAAAAACAAATTTTTTTTCACCAGAAAATTTAGCAATAGCTTATTTCTGTTATTTTACCATCCATCTGAAATATGCATAATAGCATATTCCCACAGGGCACCATCAACCATCCATTTCTGGCATGGTCCGAAAGTATTCACCGGGGGCATGAATTTTGGACATCTAGGATGTTCCTATTAGCATTCTGCCACACAATACATCTACGGAGAACGCTAGGATTTTTCGCCAGATGTGAAACCTCGATTCCCACTTGCACCGCCCAATATCTACACTCCATCAAAAAACAGCTGATAACAATAATAATGACAAAGCTTTTGCCTGAATTTAGATATTTTACAAATTAAACAGAATAAATTGGCAATTTTATTGGCTATATTCAAACTATACATATGTATATATATTTACAATAAACGTTACTCTTTGGACTCTGTTTGAAAGTTGGTTTGGCCTTGGTTGCTCGCAATTGCTCGAGTATCTCTCGTTTTTGTTTCTTGGTGCTCCTCCTGTTTTTTGCTTTGTGGCGCTATTTCACCAAAAAAACTTCGTTATTGTTCGTGTCATCAACTTTATTTGTGATGATTATTAGATGGTGATGCCAGTATCGCGGTTTCACATCTGTATAAAAATCTCCGTAACGTTTTGCCGTTCCGAAAATTTCCCAGTTAGTCCACCATCCATTTTGGATGTTCCTAAACCGCACGTTTCTATGCGATAGTTAGCCAATGGTTTTCAAGTGCAACTCTGAATAATTTTCGTTCACAACGAAAAAATGGTATTCACTGCGAAAACGTAAATAATGATTGCGACAAAATTAACAAAAAACAACAACAATCATGCCCAATAGCTCGGATGCATTCAAGGCTGGCGATGAGATTAAATGCGGCATGGCCGAGTCTGCCAGGCTGAAGTTGCAAGTGTGTGGCGAATAAATGGCAGACGACTGACAACATAGAACAAATATTTCTATGCTCTTTAAATGCTTTATGTTATGCATAATTTATTCTTTAATAATACATTTTTTCGGACATTATCGAGTTGGATCTGGACGGATTTTGTAGCTCCAGCACCTTTTCTGACAAGAGATCGCCAAAGAGCGACTCGAATCGCAGAAGGAACTTCACAGGAAGAACATTAAAAGAGGCAGGAAAAGATGGTCGACGACCTCAATACACAATATTTTGCGATTGCAGATCGTATCTGTTCCGCTGACTGATTAAAATCACCAGAACTAATGCTGCTATCGGGCTGTTCGCATATTTTGCTGTTAACCACGGCCGAAATAATTGCTACATCTTCATCATCTAGTATAAGAACCAAAAATTAATAAATCTTCCGCGTATTTAATGCACTTGCTATTGTTATCAGCTGTTTTTGACCTATGGTGGATGGTGCCAGTGTGAAACGGAGTTTCACATCTGTCAAAAAATCCCACCATTCCCCCGGGATGGGCTCAGTGTGCAGAGCCTATTACGCTTGATCGCTGGCCTCCTTCCATATTTGTTGTGCCTGCCCTGCTTGTTCTACAGCGAAAGATTGAATATGACTGATTTTCTTCTTGTGACGCGAAATACCAATGATTGTTTTTCTAGTATTAATACGAATTTACTTATATAGTAATCGATACTCTAATTATTAATATATAATAAATTTAAAAAGGAGAATAAACATATTTTTTTCTGTTCTGAGTACAGATATTTTTAGTTCTTGTATAGACAATAAAATCGGCAATTCATTCATCTCAACTTGTAAAATTTCAGAATTCAGACTAGAACTTCGTTATTTTTATTGTCAGCTGTTTCACATCTGTCCGAAATTCCTACCACTCCACGTTTTATCTGCTATTGAACACATTCTTAGCTTGTTATCAATTTCGTTACTTGTCTCAGCTATCGATATTTATTTAGGTTTTTTTTTTTATTAAATAGGTTCGTCCCTAAATACACGTAAAATATCATCAAAGAAAAAGTGTTCTAAATTTACTTACCGGAAATTTACGAAACGAATCATTATCATATAGGGGGACCGAATTTGGTCAAAATTATTGAATTACCCGTATTAAATACACTTAATTCAATCCCTAAATTCACGAAGAATTCATATTTCGATTCATATGACATCTGAGCCCTTTCTGGAACTATGAAGACCCGTTTCAGTACTTATGATATAATTTGCGGAGTCGCTGAACTTCAAAAGTAGGCATACAACTAACGTACACACGTTCTGTTTATTTTTATTTTATTAATTTAAATTTTTTTATCATAGGTTGGTCGGCTGGCGAGTAAATCAAATATACGACATTGATAACAAAACGTACCTTTTCCGCCTGCAAGGAAATGGAGCAGTTCAGAAGATCACGCTTTTGATCGAGTCTGGTATTCGCTTTCACACAACCAAGTTTGAGTGGCCCAAAAATGTGGCTCCTTCTGGCTTCAGTATGAAGTTAAGGAAACACCTAAAAAATAAGCGCCTGGAAAAAATTAGTCAATTGGGTGTGGATCGAATAGTAGATTTTCAATTTGGAAGTGGCGATGCAGCCTATCATGTTTTACTTGAACTATACGATCGCGGAAATTTGATTTTGACGGATTTTGAATTAACAACACTTTACATCCTTCGGCCACACACAGAAGGGGAGAATATACGTTTTGCTGTCCGTGAAAAATATCCCATTGAACGTGCTAAGCATCAAGATGACGAATTTTCACTGGACCATTTAGCAGACCTACTGGAAAAAGCCCCTCCTGGCGTACATTTACGACAAATATTAATGCCGGTTTTAAATTGTGGCCCTGCAGTCGTTGAGCATGTTCTTCTTTTACATGATTTAGAAAATCGTGTAATGCCGCAGGGGACCACTTCAAACGTAGATGGACCAGAACAGCCTTTAAAAAAGGCCCAAAACTCAAAAAAACAACGAAAGGAGCGAAACCTACAAAATGCCAAATCGGAAGTAAAGGTTTTTGACATGGTAAATGATCTACCAACTCTAAAAATGGCTGTTAAGGTAAGCACACTTGGGTTTTTCTACTGAATGGCGGGATTGATGTTTGTTTGGTTGAGCTTTTTCAATAGCTTATTTTTCGATTTACTTCTGAATACACATAAATTGGGGCTCCCGTTTTAACATTGGCAAAATTAAAGGTAAACAACTTTTTATACAACGAAACGAAACTTTTCAAAAGGAAAAAAATAGATGACCTATTGATGCATTAAAATAGTCTTGCCACCTATATCAGGGAATTTTAACTTTTGCTTTCTTTCTTTGCAAACTTCAATTTGGCTTTGAAAAAATTGGCCAGGGCAACAACAATTTTCGTTTTGGTTTGCAGCAAAAATATGTGAAAACTGGAGAGCCTTAAATTGATTTGCATAGTATAAAGTTTATGGGCCCTTATGGGACTTACACTTTTTTACATCCACTATCCCCACAAATTTAATATTCCCCTATACTCTCTTTGAGCATCGAGTATCATTACGTTGGCTACAACCTTAATGTAGTCATGGCTATTCCCTAAAATGCATGAGGTTTTACTTCGTAGAATTCCTGGAATTCTTTAAATACCTGCGTTCTCTTGGAACGCTATGTCTAATTAGGTGCAAGGAATGACATGTTAATTTTAAATGAAATAGGCTGGTGTCCCCACATAGCTTGATTTAAACTATTGTGTTTCCGCCGTCAGTTGCAAGTAACTATTACAATGCATAATTCTAGGTATGCATTGTTCTTTGCTTACTTGTCCATCTGTTACAATTCAACTTAACAATTAACAACCACCGATAACCAAGCGTTTTACCGATGGGCTTAGGGGGTCCAATGACTGACATAAAAAGTATTTATTCTATAGGTCAGTCATTAGCAAAAAATCGTTAGTTTCATTAAAAAACTGCAAGGGCTCCAGCAAGTGCTAGAGCGTCTGTGTTATCACACTAGATCAAGTATTAGCAACGCCCCCTTCCGCCCCCAAAAAGGTCGAAAATCTATGGCATCCATAATATTGAAGATACGTGGTACCAAAGTCAAACCGCTATATCTTTTTACATTACATACATTTTTGCATAGATTGATTCATTGTTAATAAAGCAAGAAAGTTTGTGGTTTCCAAAACACGTTTTTAAAGCTATTTATTAATTTTTTCAAGAACATTACAAAAAATGCCTTTTATTCTAGCTCAACCGAATATGTTCAGTGCCATAATAAAAGTTAATAATTTCAATTTATTTACAGAGAGCGTTGAATCTTATTAAAGATGGAAACAATGGTGAATCCAAGGGATATATTATTCATGTAAAAGAGGAAAAACCAATAGAAGACGGAAAAATTGAATATTTTTTAAGAAATATCGAATTTCAACCGTTCCTCTTCGCTCAATTCAAAGATAATGAATTTTCAATGTTCGAATCCTTTTTGGAAGCTGTCGATGAGTTTTATTCGACTCAAGAATCGCAAAAGATTGATATGAAAACGCTGCAACAGGAACGTGAAGCCTTAAAAAAGCTTTCCAATGTAAAAAAGGATCATGCAAAGCGACTGGAGGAGCTAACTAAGGTGCAAGATGATGATAAAAAGAAAGCCGAACTAATTACTTCTAATCAAAGCTTGGTAGATAATGCGATTCGGGCCGTCCAGTCTGCCATTGCAAGTCAATTAACTT